GAAAGAGACAGACAGAGAGGGAAAAGGGAATAGAGTTAGAGAAAGAAAGAGAGATAGACAGAGAGAGACAAAGAGAGAAGAGAGAGAGAAAAATGATAGAAAGAAGAGAGAGAGAGGAAGAAAAAGGAGAGAGAGAGAGAGGGTCCTGTGGGGTGGACTCAGTGTAAAGCTCTGTTCTAAGTGAGCTGAATTAACTGTTCTGTGTTATAGACGGTAAACGTGGGAGCAAAAAAAGAGCGAGCGAGAGACACAGAGAGACACAGACAGAGAGAGAGAGAGAGAGAGAGAGAGAGAGAGAGACTTACCCAAGGCGTCCTGTATGTTCTCTGCTGTTTGGATCAGAGAGCTGCTTTTCTGTCTCCTGCTTTTGCTCCCTTGTTTACTATCTAGAACACACGGAGCCTTCTTACTCTCGGCTTTTTGTTTGTTTAATATTTGAATTGTCACATTAAGCCTTAAGTCTTGTTTTATGTGCATGTTTGTTTTGCTCTTATTACTGTTATTATTTTTCATTATTTTTACTATTTTGTCTTTAGTTCTGTGTATTTTATTTAAATAAGCGCTTAATGGCTTTCGTCTGGAATTGAGCTCACTGAAAAAACAGAGCTTTAACTTGACTCAATTCCATATGAATTAAATATTTAATGAGACCTCACTTGAAATCTGACATTAGCAGGTCTTAAAGATGTCATAGCAGATGTAATTACACAGTTATAAACTGTAATAACTGGTTTCTTCAGTAATATTACAGTGTCATGTTACCATTACTGTGAAAGATGACCAGACGTTTGATGTTCCGATGGCTTATTAGAGTACACAGATGGTTCTTCAAGGATTCTTCAGTAAAGACAATGGTTCTATATATAACCATGAACACTAAAAGAACCATTTCATGCTTTAAGATTCTCTGCATGGTGAAGTGGTTCTTCAGATAGGTATGGCATGTGTTGTGCTCTGTACAGCACCAAAAAGGCATCTGGGCTACAAGCTTGATGTCACAACAATAGCAGAACCCTTTTAGTGCTCTATGGAACCCTTTTCAAAAAGGTTCTACATAGAACAACATAAAGCATATTCTCCATCAATCTGAAGAACAATTTCACCATGCAAAGATGCCATTCACATTCTACACAGAACCAGAAAGGGTTCTTCTATTGTTACAAGGTTGACATCATAACAGTACAAGAACCCTTTTTGGTGCTGTATAGAGCGCTTTTCAAAATGTTCTACATAGAACCACATACAACACATTCTCCATCAATCTGAAGAAACATTTCACCATGTAAAGAGCGCTTTAAGCATGTAGAGGGTTCTTTCAGTGTCCGTGGTTCTACATAGAACCAATGGCGAAGTTCTTAGAGTACTAAAACGGATCTGTGATCAGCTTATGCTTATTATATAACCCTAAATAAATTCCATGACCTTATGAGACCTGATCTCAGATCAGTGCTCTTACTCGGAGATGCTTTGTAAACGTCTTTACTAAAGAACCCTTAAAGAACCCTCTTTTGGGTGCTATATAGAGCCCTTTTCAAAAATGTTCTATGTAGAACCATCCACAGTACGTTCTCCATCAATCTGAGGAACACTTTCATGAAGCAAAGGATTCTTTGAGTATTCATGGTTATTTATAGAACCACTTGTGTACTCTAGTTAGCCGTCATAAAGTCAAACGTTGTGTCATCTTTCACAGTAATGGTAACATAACACTGTAATATTACTGAATAAAACCTGTTATTACAGCTTATAACTGTGTAATTACACCACAATGACATGTTTAAGACCTGCTAATGTCAAATTTCAAGTAAAATCTTATTAAATGTTTAATTCATGTGGAATTGAGTCAATTCAAAGCGCTGTTTTTGTCAGTGAGCTGATTTCCTGACGAAAGACAGAAAATGCTTCACAATATTTAAATAAATTTTAAATATACTAAAGAACTCTTGAAGAACCATCTTTTTAAAGAGTGTAGAGTTCCAGTAGAGAGTGACTGAGCTGAGATCAGACCCAAAACTCTTACGTCCTTGTCTGAAATCCCTGAACGAGTGTAAAGGTCACTCACCGCAGACGGACACCAGCAGGCCGACGGTCAGCGTGCAGATCAGTAAAGTCCTCGCTGTCATGCTGCTCTCTCTCTGTTTAGCTCTGCTTTCTCTGTGCTGTGAGCCTCGCTGACCGCTTTACAAACACACCACAGCTCGTAAACACCGTCCTCAGCCTTGTTATTACCCTGATTATCATTATGAATATTACTGTTATGGTAAACTCTGCAGCAGACGACACCTACAGAGCGCAGAGCGAGCTCGATTACAGCAATTCTACCTCCAATGGTGAGTAATATGACGCCGTCATCCATGGAAGATGACACCTTTCATACAGCACTGTGGGAAAGTTTACTTCACATAGTAGAGTGAAAAAGCTGTTTATCCAGGTGGCAGCAGGTGTTTATTTACTCAGAAAACAACACCAATATTAGAATAAACACAATTAAATTGCTGCTGTTGGAACAAAACCCTGTATCAACATTTTTGTTGTTTTTCAGTTTTTGACATAATTTGAAAATGCATGTTAGCCTTTATGTTGTGCGTAAATTTCATGATGCACGGATCAAAAGAAACAGCCCAAAATGACTTTAAAAGACGTCTGGTTCCATTCACTTACATTAAAAGTAAAGTGTGTTTGTTCTTCTCCTGTAAAGTTTCCATTTACGAGGATACAAGGTTTTGTTCTGACAGCGAAACTATGTTAATAAAATATTTAGGATTAAAACATAATAGTTTTGCTTTCTACTGGGAATTGGCTCAATGGTTTCCAGTAGAGACCACCATTTTCCTGTAGAACTCCTTTAGATCCAGTTAGGAAACCATCAAATGCATTTAGAATCAGAGATTGGTCACCTGTTAAACCATCAGGATCTTTTACACTGTGATATCAACTCATTAAATAAGAGACAAAACACAGTACAAAACCATCAGGAACCGACAGAAACACTTAATCATCTCCATGGGTTTTTTCAGCAGGGTTCAATGTGCACTGTTAAAAATGAGAGGTCAGCTCAAATCAAGATGATAGAGTAACTGATTACATGGCTTTTGCTGAGTTGACTCAGCTTGAGGACACCAGAATTCACACAACTCAAACTTCTAGAGGTTCCCTTTATTTTTTTAGTTCTGCATCTGAGTTAGGAAAATAAAATGAGCTTGGTTTTTATACTCAGCTTCCTTACCAGCCAGGACTCCATCACACAGTCCTGCTGGACATTTTTCCTCTTAAGTACAAACTTACTTATGGCTATGGCATCGCTGGGGCTCAAACTCACAACCTCCTGTTGGGGTGACAGCTTAGTCCAGTGCACCACTCAGGAACACATGAAGCAGCTCAGTCTACAAATGTTTAAAACACTGGAGAAAATATTTGTTGTTTTGACTTTAAGGCAGAGCACAGTTTCATGTGGTGCAGCTGTCTAACAGTTCATCCCAACATCAGGAGCTTGTGAGTTTGAATCCCAGCAACATCACAGCTGTTCATATCTGAAGCCTAGAAGGAAAACTGTGTGATAGAAGGAGCGCCAGCTAGTGGGGAAACTGAGTTAAACACACCACTTTGATTTTGTTTATCTAACTGAGATGCAGACTTAGAAACAGTAGCTGGGAGAAGTTTTGACTCAGCTAAGAAGTTTGAGTTGTGTGAACTCTGGTGTCCTTAAGTTGAGTCAACTCAAGAAAAGCCATGGAATCAGTTACTAGATCATTTTAAGTTGAGCTGACCTCTCATTTTTACAGTGTGTTTGTTTAATTACTTCCAAACCCGTCCTCATGGGAGTCCAGTATTAATAGTAGCCAGGAGCCACACCCACCATAGCAGCGCTGATGCTTCAGTGTCAGTAAATGTTTGTTTTATCAGCTGTTCTTCTGTAAAGTCTCTGTTCTAGTGCGGTTCTGCGCTCTTCCTCACAGTAACTGAGATCTTCCTCGTCTCCTCTTCTGTAGAGTCTCTGTTCTAGTGCGGTTCTGCGCTCTTCCTCACAGTAACTGAGATCTTCCTCGTCTCCTCTTCTGTAGAGTCTCTGTTCTAGTGCGGTTCTGCGCTCTTCCTCACAGTAACTGAGATCTTCCTCGTCTCCTCTTCTGTCTTCAGTGTGAGAAATGAGGAACAGTCACTCTTCACTCCAAACTCTTGGGAAACTGGGCGAGTTTTCAGATTTACAGATCTGCTGCAGCTCATTGTAAAGTTTTTCAGAGGAATCCAGGCAGAGTTACAGTTTCTAGGCTATGAAGGACCAACTGGGTGAACCAGTCTGCTACAGCGCCACCCTGAGGCAGAGCAGTGCTGCAGCTCTAGTTAGTTTAGAACACCAAAGACAGAAGCTGATTGTGGGGGAAGCAGATAAACAATCAGCTTTACTGAGTTTGCACTGAACACGTTTTGGAGCAACACATGCTGCCTTTTAGACACCGTCTTTTTCAGGGACATCCATGATTATCTCAACACAGCACACATTCTGCACAGCAGCAGGGCTGCGTGGTCAGAGAGTTTGAGTGCTAGACTAACCTGTCTGCAGTCCAGAACTGTCTCACACTGAAAAAGCCCATCGTATTGAGCTCAGAATATGAAAATGAAGGCTGAAATGAAAAGAGATGTAACACAGAGATAAACACGCTCCTGTATCCACCTTTTTTGGAGTGTGTTGCAGGCATCATATTTGGAATGAGTGTGTATTTACAAAAAATTTCAATAAAAAAAAGTTAATAAAGTGAAACATTAAACATTGTGTTTTTTTTTATATCATTTTAAGTTTAATTCAGGTCAAATGGAATTTATTAATCAGCGCTTTCTGTTTTTATTAGTATTTCACACACTGTCCCAACTTTCGGAATAAAGATAACAAATTGTGTAGTTACTCAGTTTTGTTGTATGAAAATAATCCTATTTTATCATTTCTTTCCAATGTCACACAATGTTGCCTCAGGGCAGCGTATCCCAAAAGGACCCCCTCACACAATTTTTTTTTTAAAATTGTTTTTTAATTTTAATAATCAGGTCCATTTCACACATGAACAGTGAATCATGTTAACTTTGGCCTCGTAATCTGTGAAATGGAGGCGTAAAAAGCATGTCTACATTTGCATATAAAGGAGGAACATGTTTTAGCTGATTTGTACTAGAACTGTTCTCTCTGCTTCAGAAGTAGACGATGGGCTCATTGAGAGCCTTTCCCGTTTGGACACTGTGCAGTTCCAGTTTGTGTCCAGCGTGAGGGAGACACTGGAACACCCTCAGGTGAACGTACTCCTCCCCACCTACATGCATCTGAGAGAGAGAGAGAACAACATTAACCCCTTCAAATCCAGGCTTATTACATACTAAAGCTGATTATTCAGTAACCACAGGGACTTCAGTGCAAACTGGCTGAGCTATTCTTAGATTATAGAAGTGGGTAATACAACCCCATTTCCAAAAAAGTTGGGACGTTGTACAGAAAGTAATCAAAAATAAAATGCAATGATGTGCAAATCATGTAAACCTTATTTTTAGGGAAAAACTCCAAAGACAACATATCAAATGTTGAAACTGAGAAATTTTATTGTTTTTTGAAAAATATTTGCCCATTTTGAATTTGATGCCAACAACACGTTCAAAAAAGTTGGGACGGGTCATGTTTACCACTGTGTTTTATCACCTCTTCTTTTAACAGCACTCTGTAAGCGTTGATAAAAGAAGTTTGATACAGGATTTCAGCTGCTCATCAGTTCTCCTTTGTCGTATTTTTCATTTCATAATGTGCCAAATGTTTTCAGTGGTGACAGGTCTGGACTGCAGGTAGGCCAGTTTAGCACCTGGACTCTTTTAATATGAAGTAATGCTGCTATAATACATGCAGAATGTGGTTTGACATTGTCTTGCTGAAATAATCAAGGCCTTCCCTGAAAAAGACGTCATCTGGATGCAGCATATGTTGCCAAAACATGTATATATCATTCAGCATTAATGGAGCTTGCACTAATGCCCCCTATACCATCATGAATACTGGCTTTTGAACTGTGCACTGATAACAAGCTGAGGGGTCTTTAGCCCAGAGGACACAGTGTCCATGATTTTGAAAAAAAGAATTTCAAATGTTGATTCGTTGGACCACAGGACACATTTCCACTTCCCCTCAGTCCATTTTAAATGAGCTCAGGCCCAGAGAAGGTGGCAGCATTTCTGGATCCTGTTTATATTTGGTTTCTTCTTTGCATTTTAGAGTTTTACTTTGCATTTGTGGACTCAGTCATGAACTGTGTTCACAGACAGTGGTTTTCAGAAGTGTTTCTGAGCCCATGCAGTGATTTCCACTACAGAATCATGTCTGTTTTTAATGCAGTGCTGCCTGAGGGCCCAAAGATCACGGCCAGCTAATACTGCTTTTTGGCCTTGACCCTTACATACAGAGATTTCTCCAGATTCTCTGAATCTTTTAATGATATTATGTACCGTAGATGATAAAAAGCAGAAGTTCTTTGTTATTTTATGTTGAGAAACGTTATTCTTGAATTGTTGCATTATTTGATGGTGCAGTCTTTCACAGAGTGGTGACCCCCTCCTCATCTTTACTTCTGAAAGACTCCGCCTCTCTTTTATACCTAATCATGTTACTGACCTGTTGCCCATTAACCACCAGGTGTTTTTGGAACATGTTTTTGGCATTACATTCAAAATGGGCATATTTTTTTCAAAAAACAATAACATTTCTCAGTTTCAACATTTGATATGTTGTCTTTGTACTATTTTCAATGAAATATGGGGTTTGCATGATTTGCATATCATTGCATTGTATTTTTAATTACATTTTGCACAGCGTCTTTTGGAAATGGGTTGTATAATACAACAACACATCTGATTTCACAGCAGTGAGAACACAAAATTCAGATCAGGTGTTCAAACTTTATGTTAATTATGAATGTGTGCCTGTATTAATTTCTGTGGAAGTCAGGAGACAGCCCGGTGAACTGGCCACACCCACCAGCACAGTGTTTTGGGTAGACTGTCAGTATTTAGCGTCTCTCTCTTAGTAAATCTGCCTCTAAGACTTAGAAGCTTCACCTTGATGAAGTAGTTTGTTCCAGACACAACTTGGGTGGCGAACGATTTGGCGACAAAAACCTCAAAGGTCCTCAAAGTCTTCTGCTCCACCTGCTGCTTCACCTGAAACAGCAATAGGATAACATTAACCCCTTAAAGGCCAGGGTTTGCCAGCAGGTCAAAAGTTTTATTACACACGTCTGTAATCTGAGAACAGCTCAGCCTGTTTGTACTGAAGTCCCTGTAGTTACTGAATAATAAGCCTCAGTATGTAATAAGACTGAGAATTTAAGGGGTTAACCTGCATTTCAGCACCCGTCTCACTAAACCTCCCCATAAAGGTTTAGTTTATCATAAAATCGCTGTGTTGATGCATTTTCTTCAACACTCAGCTTCATGTTCATCAGTGCGTCGTCTTGCTATGAAGGGCAGGTTTTGTCTGAATAAAGATTTGACAGTTTTCTTTTCCAAACTTTTATGAAAAGCACATTCTGAAGAATTGAGCTTCTTTCCATTGTTCTCATGTGGAAAAAATATAGAGATATGTATTTTTATATATTTGCAATACATTTCAAACACTCTGCAGTCGATGCTGAAATACATTCCAAACTGTAAAATGTATTTCAGAATATTTTGCCATATTAACCAAATATATTTTAAAATGCGTTTATTTTAAAATGTTTGTGGAAATATTTCACATAGACAAAAAGTAATGTAAATGTTTTTATCAAATCCATCTGAAAATGTATGAAAGTAGCCAAAATCCTGTCTGATGCTCTTCCCTGTCTGATACCTGATGAATCTGTGTTCCAGTATCTTCATTGATACTGTGTGAAAATGCAGTTATGATCTGATATCTTGTTTATGTGAAATACATAGTGTGTGAGAGTCTCACTGTAGATGTACATGGTCAATGCATGACTGTTAGCTGTATTACTGTAACACTGTTTTGCTGCAGGATCCAGTATTTAAACTCCTACGTAGTGCACTATGTAGGGAGCAGGGAGCTGTTTGAGATTCAGCCCCAGTGTCAGGAGAGGGCACTGCTGGACTGGTGCTAAATAAGACTCGTGGTGGTGATTTAGTGACAAAAAGTACTTATAAAGTGAACGTTTTTGCAGTAAACAGTGCTGTGATTTCATATGTTCATCATTATATGACAAAAAGTTAAAAAGTTGATGAAATGACCGCAATGGGTGACCGAACGTTCTCCTCAGCGTCCATGGTGGCTTGCCAACGATACCGCACTCTAAAAGAACTAGATTTCTGGACAGAATGCTTGCTTATGTTTACTATTATTAATGATAAGTGAAATTTTGTGTGTTTTATCATATTTTATGTTGGCCACCGTTTTATAAAAGCAATAAGCCACTTGAACAGGTTTTAAAACGGTCAGTTACTGCAAACCAACAAAAACATGACCATCTGTGGTTTGAGAAGCTCCCTGAGTTCCCATCCACTCACACACTCTCACTGACCCGACACACCCAGATCAGCACAGTGTTTAGGTGTGTGAACAGCAGTGATCTGTTCATCTCTAGATGAGTCTGAGTAAGAAGAGAGAGTGATGAACACAGTCAGTGTGAGAACTGAGCTCACACAGCCCAGTCGAACATTCCTGACCGTGGCTCACTCACTCTCCTCACACAGGAGCTGATAACAGGTCAAACACAGAACTGCTGACACACAACAAACCACAGTTATTTAACCTCTGATATGATGAAGGACACAAGAGCAAGATCACTCTTCAGCTGCTCCTCACACACTACTGTCAAAGCACTGACTGAGGACTTCACAGTGGATGCTGAATAATTCATAGTAGATACTGAATAATTTGTAGTAGATACTGAATAATTCATAGTGGACACTGAAAAATTCATACTAGATACTGATTAATTCATAGTATACACTGAATAATTCATAATGGATACTGCATAATTCATAGTAGTTACTAAATAATTCAGAGTGGTTGCTGGACAGCTCAGCCATGGCCAATTTATGAGCAGTCTTTAGTGATTTTATGATGGCCATTTAGACATAAAATGCTGTTTTGAGGATGATTTAATTGATAAAAGACAGGATTCAGATATAAAGTAGTGGTGTTAAGGTTAACGTGTTCATAACACAGTTCACACGATTTTATATTCAGGTTCAAGTTGACTTTCTGAAAGTAATAAATACATTCATTACTCACAAAGCTATAATACAATGCACGGCTCTATAAATGGAAACAGATCTCGGTTTATGGTGATATTTAAGCAAATAAGACTGTGATTAACTGCACAAAATAATGTGATTAGTTATTTTAATCATTTAACAGCCCTAATATGAAGTCATTTACAGCAGAACGTTCCTGTTTCGCAACATTGTGGAGAAATGAGGCTGTACAACATCTAAACACACACATTCACACACACATCCCAACAAACAGAGAGCAGAGAAACGTCTCATACTCACCTCATCGCAGATCTTCTGGACCTCAGGGGTCGCAGGCTTCTCCGGTCCAATACCTCCAACTTTGGACATGGTGGTCAGCACAGGTCTCAACTACAACTACTAACAACTACAACTAAACAGGATCAGCTCCGGCTTAAATAAGCCACCACTTCCTCATTTCTGCTGATCTGCTGAGCATCATTTGATCTGAATCATCAGAGTCAAAAATGCCACGTCCTCATGAGTGTTGTAAGAAACAGACACAAAGCAATTTAAAAAATAAAGTAAAAACGTGAATAATCAGACGGTGCAACACTGAATATGTTGTAAATATCTTTAATATTGCAAAAATGTAGTTTAAAAATATGTATATGTGTTTTTATACTGAAGAGCACCCATTTAGTCGGCACCATCTGGTGGATGTGTGAGTAATTACAATGCTTAATTCATCCCTCTCATTTTAGTATCTTCTGCTTGGAGAGATTCCTAAAGACTTTTTTGCTGAGAGATCAACAATTCAGATTTTGGTTTTATACACAGGTAGAAAAACTGGTTCTCTAGAGTGACGGAGCTCCATCCGATTCCTTTTTGTGCCCAGACATCACCAGTCTATCTGCATGTGTTGCCGTGGTAACACTGTAGGGGTCAGTAACTACGTAGCTACGCTGTTGTTGTGGATTTCAAACGTGGATGCAGGAGAGATGGAGGAGCATCATCTCGCCCTCCGAACTCACAACTCTGTTCATCATGAATCTTTGCAGCTCTTCCTGAATCCCAGCACTTCATCACTCTGGATTGGACAGCGTCGCTGTTCGTCGTGTTGTGAGTGACGAAAAAATCCTGTTTGAGCCTCCAGACTGAGACGCATGTGTACAAATCTGACTGGAGTCGCTTTTCGACCACCATGTGGTTTGGATCTGATTTGCAAAAATCAGATTTCATGTATTTCTTTTCCGTCCAGACTATCAAAAATCAGATTTGGGCTGGCAGTCTGAACACAGTCAAAGAGCAGTGTTTCTCAAACCTGGTCCTGGCGGCTCACCGCCTTTTCTCTGCTTCCAACACACCTGATCCAACCAATCAGCTCATTATCAATTCAATATTAGGTTAGAGTGGCTGTCTTCAAGCAGGAAAAGCACTAAAACATGCCGGGCGGTGAGCCTCCAGGACCAGGGCTGAGAAACACTGCCAAAGGGAAATGTGAACATAACCTGTGATATTCCTTCAGAAAGAGAGGAAAAGCAGAATTTTACAAGTTTTTTATTTTCCTTTGCCTTTAAAGACAAGTATTATTATTTACAGATTGATTTGAAAGCAGAGCATGTTTGGGTGCAGCAGCTGATAGAGCTGGACACGACGTCCCGTATCTCAGAACTGAAGTGGATCATTCAGCTTCTTTCCAGTTTGGATGGACAGCAGTCCTAGTTTCTGTGGAGAAGTAAAGGGGTTCTTAAACACATTCAGATGAACGTATTCTTCTCCACCTACATGCACCTGAGAGAGAAACAGAGAGGAAAGACAGTAAACAAAGCCGTCATGTGCTGATTGTCCTTGTAGAACAGGGTGATCAGATGTCCCTGTCTTCCAGGGACAGCCTCTGTTTTTGGAAGTCCCTGGCTGGGACTGTCCCTATTTTTTCTGTGAATTATAAAACACACCAGAAAGTCCTAGAAAGACCTGGAGCAGAGCAGATGGGCAGATGTCTTGTTTTGGCCAGCAGAGGGCGCTGCTGCTGCTGCTATCTACTGACCACTTCTACCGCTCACTTGCCTAGTTTTAGAGAACACTGCTGTGTAAAACTCCACCAGAAGCTCACAAGTGTCCAGTGAGTCCACAGCATCACCACAAACATATTTTCAGGACTCGAGGTGACCCAGGGGTTAAAGCAGGGGTGGAGTGACGGCACTGAATGATCAGGTGATTGGTGGACTCTGATTGGTACAGACAGACAGTCTACTAGAGTTTAGCTACTATGAGATACAAACAGAGCATCATTTTAAACTGCGTCACTTTTTCAGCCTCCATATCTGACATATGGCGTATGCTGATAGCGTCTCTGTCTGTCCAGAACTGGAGCTGCCCAGGGGTGAGTTTAGGGTCTGGATATTGGGCTACAGATACAGGGCTTTTTCTATAGACAGGGGTCTCATTTTACTGCCAAAATATTTAATATGAATTTGAATTATGGGCTCATACAACCACTGAATTATTTGTTGTAAACATGTCTCTGCCTCATCCCTGACTGAGCCGCTTGACATCACCAGCTATATTTCTAAAATACGACCAACAACAAATCTCTAAAAGGGGAAAGCAAGAAATAGAAAATGTTTTTTAAGACCATTGTAATTTATTTCCATGCATGCTGACCATTACTGGGTGTTCCATATTTGACCAGCTTCACTCACTATGGTAGCCACTGTATGATTTTCTGACACAGTATACAAAGTTACTTAGTCAGTACGCAGTTTTATCAGTCGGGCTTCACCAGAGTTTATTACAGTACAACAGTTACCAGAGACAAAATACAACTGGTACTGCCCCCCCCCCCACACCCTTTTTTTAATCACAGATAAAGATATCGGATATTTGGATATACTGACCACCAATCATGGAAACCTAAGTTCAGGAATCTGGTGACCTTGTTGTAGAAACTGTGAAATGTGATGGCTTTGGTGTTTTGGTGTATTTCCGTTTTACAATTCATTTGACTCTATTTAGCGCTCAAACCTGCATCCCAACGAGCCGGCATCCCAAATCAATCAATCAATCTGAATACATAAAAATCTAGTTGAGTCTGTTTGTCTTTAACTAAAAAAGCTGAGATCTGCTTTCTAGATTTTCTGGTTTATGAAGACAAAGCATAAAACATCACCTTAACCAGGTAGGTGGTTCCTTCCCAAACTTTAGTGATGAACGTTTTGGCGACGTAGACCCCAAAGGTTCTCTCGGCCTTTGCCTCCGCTTTCGGCTTCAGCTTTAATGAAAAAGCACACAGGTCAGAAACACACAACAACCCCTGCCTCTCCAGAGGGGAACACTCGGGGCTTTAGGCCCTCAGAGAATTTCTACATTTAGTTAATAGAATCATGATTGTATTTAAACTCTGCAGATATTACAGTTCTGCTCTTCTTTCACTGAGTGTGTTTACATACACTCAACAATCCAATCAGAATGAAGGCATAGGGATGTAAGGAGGCTCCTTTGAAATCACAGTTTTTCCACAGTTTTTCATGCGTTTTGACACCAGTCATGTTACTTCCTCCCAGTAGATAGACTCAATATTACTGATAATTCATTAATAATCTGACTAATAGCTCAATCAGAATAGAATACGTCCATGTAAACACCTCAGTTGGGATAGACTCGCCTGATTGAAGCCAATAGGAATACAGTCTCTATCCGATTGATCGAGGTGGGTAAACCTGTAAATAATCCGTTAGAATTATTTATAGAAGAATAATATCCGTGTAAACGCCTGCATCTGATTACATTCCCTATCGGAAAGTTTAAGTCCATTCTGCATGTGTGTCGCATCATAGTGAAAGTTTATACCGTTCAAAGTTTAAGCTCCAAACAAAGTTTATGCTCCAAACTCTAAAGGACTTCAAAATAGTCAGCAGGATGGATGACTTGCAATAACAAGCTGCTCAGACGAGCGTATGAGCAAATGAATGACAGCAACTTCACACAAACTATAGAGCAAATTAACTGTTTAAATAACCAGGTCTGCCAACAGGCCCAAAATGTGGACACACTGTTTTCTGTTGGACAAGAAGTTGTGGATGCAGTAGCAGAAAGACACTGAGCTGCCACAGTTTATCTAGCAGTAAGGATAATGTCCCCAACAAGCACCAAATGCTGGTTTTTTTATCATTCAAGGTCCCCACAAAGAGCTAAATACCCACACACATACATGCCCAAAAGAACATAAAGGAGGGAAACGTTACCATCTCACAGTAAGACTGGATCTCGGCGGTGGCAGCCTGCGGCCTCATAGCGATTGTGGACATTTCTCACTTACAGCTACCAGCACATCAACTACAACCTCCACACAGCTAGATCCACCTTAAATGATCGCCTCTCGCCCTCCGGCACCAGGGCATGATACTCTCACACAAATGAGATTGAACAAATTAATCACATTAAAATGAGCTGATAAGGTGTTATAAACAAAGCTGTACTTTAGGGATGTGCATTCAGATTGATTTTGATATCTGAGTGTCTGTAAAAGCTCATGACCAGACATCCAGCTAAACCACAGGTTCATATACTCATCTTTAAAGAAACTGGTGTTATATGAAGCTTTTCTAGACCACATTATGAGTGAAACTGTGTTCTGTGGCTGCTATTCTGGTGAGCTAGACTGTATTTTGCTGTATTCATCATTTTATTCATTTTCTCTTATGCTGTATACGCTAGAAGCTAGCAGGCTGGGGAGTCGAGTCACCATGTGGTCAGATAGGATTTTATTTTTCTGTATTTCTGTATTTTTTTATAACCCCAATTCCCAAGAAGTTGGGACGCTGTGTAAAATGTAAACAAAAACATTATGCAATGATTTGCAAATCTCATAGACCCATATTTTATCCACAATAGAACATAGAACACATATCAGATGTTGAAAGTGAGACATTTTACCATTTCATGAAAAACAGTGACTCAGTTAGAACTTCATGGCAGCAACGCATCTGTAAAAAGTTGGACAGGGGCAACAAAAGGCTGGAAAAGTAAGTGGTACTAATAAAAAACAGCTGGAGGAGCAATTTGTAACTAACTCACATTACTGAGTATAAAAAGAACATTTTAGAGAGGCAGAGTCTCTCAGAAGCAAAGATGGGCAGAGGTTCACCAACCTGTAAATAACGGTGTCTAAAAATTGTGGAACAATTTTGGAAAAATGCTCCTCATCATAAAATTGCAAAGACTTTGGAAATCCGACCATCGACAGTACATAATATCATCAAAAGATTCAGAGCATCTGGAGAAATCCCTGTACGCAAGGGACAAGGCCAATGGTCAGTATTGGATGCTCGTGATCTTCGGGCTCTCAGGTGTCACTGCATTGAAAACAGACATGATTCTGTACTGGAAATCACTGCAAGGGATCAAGAACACTTCCAGAAATCACTGTCTGTGAACACAGTTCGCTGTACAATCCACAAAGCCAAAGAAGAAGCCATATGTCAACACTATCCAGAAACACTGCCGTCTTCTCTGGGCCAAAGCTCATTTAAAATGGAAAACTGTTCTGTGGTCAAATGGATCAAAATCTGAAATTCTTTTTGGAAGCCATGAACGCTGTATCCTATGGACTCAAAAGGAGAGGGACTGTCCAGCTTGTTATCAGCGCACAGTTGCATTAGTGCCTATGGAGTGGGCAGCTTACACATCTGGAAAGGCTCTATCAATGCTGAACAGTATATGGAGGTTTTAGAACAACATATGCTGCCATCCAGACAGCGTCTCTTTCAGGGAAGGCCTTCATATTTCAGCAGAACAATAAACCACATACTGCATCCATCACAACAGCATGGCTTCACAGAGGCAGAGTCTGGGTGCTGAACTGACCTGCCTGCAGTCCAGACCTTTCACCAATAGAAAACATTTGGTGATGAAATGAAAAATCCGGCAAAGAAGACCCAAAGAAGACCCAGAACTGTTTAGCAGCTAGAATCCTACATGAGACAAGAGTTGGACAACATTCCTCTCCCAAAACTGCAGCAACTGGTCTCCTCACTTCCCAGACGTTTACAGACTGCTGCCATCAAGTTCTAAATGAGTTAATGTTTTTCACGAAATGGTAAAATATCTCACTTTCAACATCTGATATGTGTTCTGTGTTCTATTGTAAATAAAATACGGGTCTATGAGATTTACAAATCATTGCATTCTGTTTTTATTTACATTTATTTACATTTTACACAGCATCCCAACTTTTTTGGAATTGGGATTGTATATTGTTATTGTGAATAATTATAAAAAAATCCATTAAACCTGTTTAACACATTGTCTAGTTTGTGGACCCTTTAAAACGTTGATTAAAAACTCCATATTTATGAGCCTGGTCATAAATGGTCATTATAAAGTGCTGTTACTTTGACTCAGTAAAACATTCAAAAACACTCCATATCGACTCATTTAGCCCCTCATTATGATGATGATGATGTACAGTCTGTCCTGTAAACACTCAGTAGCTGTAAAGTGCTCTGTGAAAGCTGCAGTGTATATACAGTAAATAAACCCACCAGCTCCTCATCGTCATCTGCTCCAGTCAGATCCGTGTGAACGCCTCAGAGCGTCGGCACTCCAGGACCTAACAGACTCCGCGCTCATAATATCATGCAGAGAAATATTTTCATAAGTACAGCTCTGTCTTGCACTGTGGGGCTCATTTCCTCAGGCCTGCTGTGCTCTGAACACATTCAAATCTTATGATGTACAGAGATATGCAAACATTTGAACAGCCCTGAACAATAACAGAAGCCTTGTTGATTTTCTAAGAGAGCACAGCATAAATCCAGATCAGTACAGAAGAGTAGATGAGGAAAAGAATCTGTACCAACAATCAATATTTCATTTTTTCGTTATTTAGTTTAAGAAATTGTGTCATCAGCATAGCTACGAAAAAATGTTATGTTACAGAAATGTGTATGTCTGTCTGGCTGCCCTGCGATGGACTGGCGACCTGTCCAGGGTGTTTCCTGCCTTCCGCCCAATGACCACCGCAACCCAGAAGGATAAGCGGTTGAGATGATGTGTGTGTTTGTGTTTGTGTTTGTGTGTTACAGACATCACTTAGAGGTAACGTACAAATAAAAAAGCTAAGGCCCTAAAACTGAACCCTGTGGGACTCCACAAAAATGTTTTTTGATGAATGATCAAAAAAACTAAAACTGTGCCTGAGAGTCCTATCCAGAATTCAAGATGGTGGATTAGAGTCTTGTGATCAACGGTATCAAAAGCTGCACTAAGATCCAATAAGACCAGAACAGAAGGAATTTGAGCATCAGCACTGAGCTTGAGGTCATTCACAATGCGACCCAGTGCTGTTTCAGTACTATGGTTAGAATGAAAACCTTCCATATAAGTCGTTTGAAATTAGATCCTCATTTAACTGTTTGCAAACAACTTTTTCCCATGCTACTCTTATTTTCCATTGCATTAATGTGAAATCGTAGGGAAGAAGGATCACAGCGCTGTGCGAGTTTACTGTGCTGTATGGAGTCTGTGTTTGTTTACTGAGATCTCAATAAAAAAACAAGGTGTGGTAGAAGAAAGTGTCTTCTGCTTTCGTAATGACATAACAACAAAGCTTCAGTGAAGTGATAGCTTGGCATAGCATAGCTCACTGTTAACTGAACCAAAGTCCTCATGGGAATCTTTGTGAATGGAGAGAGACCAAAATACTCCAAACTGATGGTGAAACTACTGTTCAAGAACAGATTTCAAATCCCTGATAAAACCATAAATAGTTTGTAGCGTTTGGCTCATTAATGCACAGAAAATGTCTGTTTTCAGGTTGTTCTGGCTGCTGCCTTTGCAGAGATCTCTCTTTTTATTGAAGGGCGGGACTTTTTTCCTCGAACAGACACCATGTTTAGCGTTAGAAGCTTTCCCACTCATATTTTAACCAGTAACCGTCTCCTCCTCCTTTATAACGTCTCTCACTGACCTCACGTTATACTCCAAGTTAACTGTTTTGTTTAATGGCTGATGAAATGCATGTATGATCTGCTTCTCTAAAACGGATGCAGGTCACTGTCACGCCTTCCTCCAGCCCTGCTGGAACTACAGCCTCGAACTGCATTTCCCAGCATCCCCTGCTTAATCATATGACTCAGGACTCAACCAGATCCACCTCACCTATCACCAGTCATCCTCTCCGGACTTCTTATCATCTCCACCTGTTCTCTTGTGTATTTAGCCTTTCTGTTTGTATCAGTTCGTTGTGAAGTATCGTCACCGTTTGCTGTGCGTACCGAGCCTTTCTCCATGTTAGCAGGTCTGTTTCCGTGTATGACCTGTTTTCCGTTTTTGACTCTGTTTTTTTCCTCGTCCTTTTGTTCTGTTTTGGATCTTTGTTATTTGAACTTACCTTGTTCTTGACTGTGTTTCTGGATCACCCCTTTGTTAACAAAGCTCTTAAAACTAGCCTTGTCTGTGAGCGTCTGGTTCCATCTGCCACCGTTACAGTCACTTGTGATCAGGTGCTAACAATATGAGTAAAACAGTTTGGCCTACTTAGTGTTAGATAACATTAAAAATGTTAGATTCGTTTTACTACGTCTTATATGTATTTAGGAATGAGCATATTTATATATTTATATATAAATCCTATTTTTACACAAATTACTGTAGAAGGGAACATTATGATGATAATAAACCAAGTATGGGTAAAATGAACCCAGCATTCTAGTCAATATGCACCAAAATATGAGTTAAATGGTTGATCCTGCTTTCTGAGTCCAACAGTGACTCAGTCATGAGGTTGAAAATGGCCTAAAAGCACATTTGAGAGTGTAAGATTTAAACACTGTGCTGATAATTGTCTGTATAATGATGTTGGTGGGTGAGACAGTGCTGTATTGAGTGTTCCTCACTAAAGGAGGCGCTGTTGTGCTATAACAAGCTATACTTTTGAAGCCTTAATGTCATTTTAATAGGTCTGAGAGCCATTATCTATTATAATCCAGTAACACTTTACTGTAGGGTACAGTTCATAAGGCTACATGACACCTACATAAGCTCATAAGCTGATCATGATAACAGATATAACCCTTCATGAATGTTTATAAATGCTTATTCCAATAGGCATTATTTGTTATAAATGTTACATTTGCCAATTTTGATCAAAGTAACCTTTATGACAGATGACATCTATTGTAATACACATTAATAAACATTTATATAGGGTAAAGTGTTACCAATAATCCAGGCTGGCTTATTGAGACTCTATAAAACAGATATGACACCTGTTATTAATATCAGGGCCAGACATTGATTTTTGAGGGTGCTGGTCGAGGGAAAATTTCCCAATGTACACTCTTAAAAATGGGTTTCCAGCATTTTAAAGGGTCAGTTAAGGATCGGTCAGTTTTACACAAAGGTAGAAAAATGAAAAATGAAGTAAATAATTGATTAAATTTACATATTTATCGTTGATGTCCAGTGGTCATATGAGTGATTCTGACGGCCTCTGAAAGTGGTTTGAATGACCGTCTCTGAGACACACTGCACCTCCATCACACCTGGAATTAATGCTGCCCACTTCTGGTCAAATAACGCAGAATATCTGTTAATGCCAGCTTTAAAGGCAGCTTCTCTGCATGGAAACCTTTCAGGAAATTTTTCACAGTAAATTATTAAAATCCTTTATCTGCAGGCTGTTATCAACTTTACTGCAAGGAAACATTTTCACATGAAAAATGTGAACTAACTGTAAATCCACCACCATAAAAAAACAAACAAACAAAATCCAGCATCTTACAGCTCAGAGATCTTTTTATTTTCCTTTGTAAGAAAATTCAGCTGTTATTGTTATTATACATTTTAAAAATCTGTGTCCGATCTGAGGCTGTTTGTCAGATCTGAGGCTGTGTGTCAGAGTGGAGTGCTGCTGCAGGACGAGATCACTAACAGCTGCTAACACTAACAGTGTGTGTTCCACTTGCACACTGGTCAGAAGTGGCCGATGGGATCGTTGAGTTTCTTCCCGGTTTGGATTCCATGCAGCTGCAGTTTGTGTCCAGCATGTGGGAGAGACCTGAACACCCTCAGGTGAATGTATTGATTCCCACCTACGTCCACCTGAGAAACAAAACAGCACACTGTTCATCTAAAGGTGCTACAGCTTCACCAAAAATGTGCTCAGTCACAATTCATTCATACACGATCATATTAAACCTTTCTTTATCATTTACAGCTAAACAGACTGTTTCTCTTACTGTGCCTTTAAGACTGATATATGTAAATGAGCTCTGTTCTGATTGGCTGCCCTGTTTTGTGACTTGATCACCCTTTATGACCTCATTGTGAGTGGCCGGGCTAAACTGCTGTACGCTGAATAGAAAGACATTGGTAAATGAGTTGGTATCCGATTTATTTATTTCATTTAAAATTAGATGTTTTTATAGCTTAGTTTCTAAATACAGAATTATTCAGTATCTTCTATGAATTATTCAGTAACTACTATGAATTATTCAGTATCTACTATGAATTTTTCAATGACTATGAATTGACAAACCACATTTAGGTTTTGTAATTTTCAGAGGGACTTAAAAGTAATAAAAACTTGGCCGCTGCTGATTTTAAGGGGCTAAACATTTTTGTAACTCATATTAATGGCAGCAGCAATTATATATTTATATTGTAACTGTTATTTTTATATTCCGATAGTTTAAAATAAACAGAGACAGAAACTCACAGTCCTAAATAATGTAAATACTGTAGTCTGTGGAGACTGAAATGTCTGAAGGACACAGTGTCAGAGTTAAAGCCACACCTTGATGAAGTAGTTGGTTCCTGCCACAACCTGAGTGGTGAAAGATTTAGCCACAAACACTGCAAACTTCTTCTCGGCCTTTTGCTCCACCTGCGGCTTCACCTGTACCAAAGAACCAAACAGGTTCAGTAACACACGTCTGTAATAAACAAACACTGTAGACTCTCAGAAATAAAGGTACTAGACTGGCACTGGGGCGGTTCCCCTATTGTCACTGGGGTGGAACCCTCAAGGCTCCATCTCAGTACCTTCAGTCAGGGAACATAACTGAACCATAATCCACTGAAATGATATGTTCTAAGCTGTACTGACTCCACACACCCCGTCTCGCCTCCAGGCTTTTATTTTACTGTTCTGTTTAAAACATTCGGTTATGAAAATGTACAAATACGAACTTTTCACCTGGAAACACTTATTTAAGGTTCACAATCAGACCTTAAAACCACTGTTGGAGCTTTGAGGGAACATTTACACTGTTTCTACCTTGATGAGTGAAGAACGTTCCTGCACAGAACCTTTATTTCTAACAGTGTAACAAACAAACTGCTGACTGAATTCCTTTCTTAAAATTTCATGAAACCTTAAAAGGAGCAGCAGCCACTTTATTATGGTGTAAATAACTAAAGAACTATGAAAATGTGGGAACATTTGTAGATTTTATTCACTGAGTTTAGGTTTAAAATTGGGATTGAAATTAGAATTTATTTTACAGAACATGATCAAAAAACAGGAACAAAACAAGAAACTCATTATTTGTAAGCTCTCTAATTTCTTAAGTTCTTCATCATGTTTACATCTCAGCCATTAATTTATGCTGATTATGATGAAAAATTCCCTTTTAAGCAAATCTGCTGTGGTCAGTCAGGAGTGCATTAGTCACCTCACATGGAGGTTTTGTTCCTGTTTTTCAATCATGTTCTGTAACATAAACAATGCTAGTCTCTGCTCGTTTATATATTTAAAAGCTTTGAAAAGTGTGCAGTGAGAGTGTTTGGGTGGGCAGTGTATGCAAAGGTGGTGAAATAAGGAACACGCCCAACACACTCGGAACGACCCGACACGCCCGGATCAGCAGCATTCCAGCAGTGTTTGTACATTTGAACTGCATGGACCTGCTTAAGACGAGCTGACAGACTTACAATAGTTCATCTAGAACCCTGAAGGAGGAGGCAGAGTGATCAGTACAGTGTGAGAACTGAGCTTGAACAGCACCGTCTACTTAAGTCAGCAACCTGTCTGCCTTCGTTGTGTTGAAGGGGAATTCCACCAAAATTTTTCGTTCTAGATCATCAGAACTGTTCACAGTGGTGGTGATAGGAACCAGACGTCCACCTCTAAAAGCTCCCTCACAGAAAGTTCCTACATGAAATGGTTATGAATTCACTGCCTGATGACTGAGACACTGTTTTATGATAGTTTAGAGAACTTAAACTCCATTCATGGTGGAGGGATACATGCAGGGCGCTGTGAGGCAAAATAGTCCCCAAAGAAAACGTATTATTTCAGATTTTCCACTATTTTCCATCATGAACATTCCATATAAACTCAGAAGACTCGTGTAGGTTCACTGGTGGTTCTGGATAGTAAATGAAATGTCTATATCTGTGTTGTAGTCATGGCGACCCCTGGTTCCTATCACCACCACTGTAAAGACATCTGAACCATTTCACACCAAACCTCTCTGAATCTCTCTGACTACATCTCACACACTGAGTTATAGATAGAATTTTTATAAATCAAGTACAGACTGTTCTCCCTGCATTTGAGGTTCACTTATAATGTTTGTGTTGTTTTATTTGCCAAAACTCTCATGTTTTCATTACCATTTTCCAAATCTATATATGCACAAGTTTTTAAAAAGGTCATATAAACTCTGAATGAATGATGTTTGGCATGTTAAAATCATAACATGTTGAAAATTGTAAATATTAAATATCAACAGTTTAATTTTTTAAATTTATTTATAACGTCTAGAATTCAGAATATCTAAAATGATGTATATCACTGTCGCTACTTTGTTTTTGGAAAGGAACTTGTACTCTTAAAAAAGATGGTTCTTCAAGGGTTCTTTAGTGAAGGAAACGGTACTATGTAGAACCATGAACACTCAAAGAACCCTTTGCATGATTAAATGGTTCTTTGCATCATGAAATAAAGTTCTCAGTGAGTGTATATGAGTCTATTGATTAGAACACCAGCCAGACTGCACTGTATAAGGGAACCTAATGAGAGAAAAGGCTGACCTACACACTTAAAAAGCCGGTTCTTCAAGGGTTCTTTAGTGAAGGAAACGGTACTATGTAGAACCATGAACACTCACGGAACCCTCTGCATGATCAAAGCGTTCTCTGCATGGTGGAATGGAGAACGTGCTGTAGATATTTCTATATAAAACCTTTTAGAAAAGGGTTCTACATAGCACCAGAAAGGGCTCTTCTATTGTGGCAAGCTTGGCACTGTAACTATAGTAACTACAGCAGAACCCTTTTTGGTGCTATGTAGAACCCTTTTCAAAAAGGTTTTCTATAGAAATTTACACACATACAACACATCCTACATCAATTTCACCACGCAAAGAACACGAAAGCATGCAAAGTGTCCTCTTAGCGTTCATGGTTCTATATAGAATGTATATTTTATATATTTTCTTTAGTAAAGAACCCTTGAAGAACCATCTTTTTTGAGAATGTAGTTATTTTTTCAATACTTTTACTGGAGAGTTAATTAAAATTACATAAACATAAAGATAAGTTAGAATAATTAATATAGTTATATTCAAAAGACAAAACAGAGTCTGAATGAATGAAAAGCAGATCTTCACTGATTCACCTCATCACAGATCTTCTGGATCTCAGGGGAGGCAATCTGCACCGATCCGGTTCCTCCAACAACTTGGGCCATGATGGTCGACTACAGCTACTACCGACAACTATGCCTACAACTACATGTGCCCTCACAGCTCCACCTTAAATACCCTCCAGCTGCAGCTCCACTTCCCCATTTCTACAGACCTGAATCATCTCATTAGCATGAAAACTGGCTCAGGTTCTCCCAAAAAGGGGATTCTCCAGTGTTAGGAGGGTTTAATTACAGTAAAAACACACACAGACACATTTTAGCAAATCAGGCCTAAAGCAGAACTGAACTCACAACAAAAGAGTCGACTGTAAACTCTCTGAAATGCTTATTTCTAATGTAGAGCTTTACAGTCTCTCTGCTCCTCTCCTACTTAGCTATATAGTGGTACATTCTGAGGAGTGGCCGCCTCAGCAGTGCCACCTGGTGGGCGTGTGAGAAATTACACCTAATGTTCTACAGGTATAACTTAATGCTTTATGAGATCTGCTTAAGTATTAGTGCTCATCTGCTTGAGGCTGTTTTTTAGAGTCTATGTTTTGTTGTTGAGCTCTTGTTTATCCAAGGGGGCAGGAAGCAACACTTGGCGTTCCAGGAATGGTCCAATAATGTCCAATAATGAAGAGATAAAAAATTATATTAAAAATTACAGCTATAGGACTTCATAACACCTCATTCACATTCATGAGCGCAAACTGCTTCATTCAGCTAATGCTGCTCAGCTCGCCAACCAATCAGCGCTCGGTAGCAGTAATGTTAACCAATCAGCACTCAGTAGCAGTAATGTTAACCAATCAGCACTCAGTAGCAGTAATGATAACCAATCAGCGCTCAGTAGCAGTAATGCTAACCAATCAGCGCTCAGTAGCTGTAATGCTAACCAATCAGCGCTCAGTAGCAGTAATGATAACCAATCAGCGCTCGGTAGCAGTAATGCTAACCAATCAGCACTCAGTAGCTGTAATGCTAACCAATCAGCACTCAGCAGCTGTACTGCTAACCAATCAGCGCTCGGTAGCAGTAATGCTAACCAATCAGCACTCAGTAGCAGTAATGCTAACCAATCAGCACTCAGTAGCTGTAATGCTAACCAATCAGCACTCAGCAGCTGTACTGCTAACCAATCAGCGCTCGGTAGCAGTAATGCTAACCAATCAGCTCTCAGTAGCAGTAATGCTAACCAATCAGCACTCAGTAGCTGTAATGCTAACCAATCAGCACTCAGCAGCTGTACTGCTAACCAATCAGTGCTCGGTAGCAGTAATGCTAACCAATCAGCTCTCAGTAGCAGTAATGCTAACCAATCAGCACTCGGTAGCAGTAATGATAACCAATCAGCGCTCGGTAGCAGTAATGCTAACCAATCAGCGCTCAGTAGCTGTAATGCTAACCAATCAGCTCTCAGTAGCAGTAATGCTAACCAATCAGCACTCAGTAGCAGTAATGATAACCAATCAGCGCTCGGTAGCAGTAATGCTAACCAATCAGCGCTCGGTAGCAGTAATGATAACCAATCAGCGCTCAGTAGCAGTAATGCTAACCAATCAGCGCTGAGTAGCAGTAATGCTAACCAATCAGCGCTCAGTAGCAGTAATGCTAACCAATCAGCTCTCAGTAGCAGTAATGTTGACCAATCAGCTCTCAGTAGCAGTAATGCTAAGCAATCAGCTCTCAGGAGCAGTAATGTTAACCAATCAGCTCTCGGTAGCAGTGATGTTAACCAATCAGCACTCAGTAGCAGTAATGCTAACCAATCAGCTCTCAGTAGCAGTAATGTTAACCAATCAGCTCTCAGTAGCAGTAATGCTAACCAATCAGCTCTCAGTAGCAGTAATGTTAACCAATCAGCTCTCAGTAGCAGTAATGTTAACCAATCAGCTCTCGGTAGCAGTGATGTTAACCAATCAGCTCTCAGTAGCAGTAATGCTAACCAATCAGCTCTCAGTAGCAGTAATGTTAACCAATCAGCACTCAGTACAGTAATGTTAGCGTCCTGCTGCCCAAAACCTGTTTGCTGTAGTAAAGGAAACATACAGGTGAGATTTCTTTGCTTTTTTAGTGAAACTCTATTTCTACTGTCTAAAATGAAAGGACAGTCCAGGACAGCAGGTCAGGAAATACGTTACCTCATCTCTATTTCCCCCCTTTCATTGAGGACTTGCTCGCAGGCGCCCTCTGGCGTTTAGCAGTCCTGTTTTTGATATAACGGGAGACATAGGAAGTGGCCAGGCTCCTCATAAACCAGCTCTGGTTCCACCACAATTCCACCACACCAGTCACATCACCAAACACACTGGCTGTGTTTCAGCCAAGGTTCAACCAACATAAACACTCAGCAGCTCAGACACTGATTACAAGGATGAACTTCAGCGAAGAAAAGATGTCAGGTGTCCATACATACATACATACATATATACACATATATATATATATATATATACATACATATCACATACTTAAGGGTTTAGTAAAGAGCCATGAACACTCAAAGAATTGCAATAAATATGTAATTTAATCCATTTGTATTCTATTTTTTCACAATTACCTCAGAATAAAGTCGGTCACACCAGTGACTTCAGCTAAAAGCTTCATATGAAATCATGAGCTAAATGAGAAAATCTCTGATAACTGATAGACACAGTGGACTCACCATGAGCTTTTCTTCATAGGTCATAACACCAGTGGAACAACTTTGATTATATATTTTATAATATTTATTTGGCTTTTGTTTTCTTTATGTCATTTAAATCACATATTTCATAGTCATGTATAGATTATTGCAGTTACAATTGCAGAAAAACATGTTTTTACCTCAAAATATGGCCTCAGCCTTCACACACGACTGTGGGGACGAGCTCTTCTGTGGTGCCTGGAATTCTAGATCATTGATTTATAAACCAATATTGCTAAACTGAGGCTCAGGAATGTGTAATTGTTAAAATAACTTATTGTTTTATTTTAAAATCTAAATAAATTGTAACCCTATATATATATGTATACTGTACATATATATGTACAGTATATATGTGTATATGTATATATGTACATATATATATATATATATATATATATATATATATATATATATATATAGTTGCATCAGCAGAGTCTTCACTTCCCAGACACATGTGGGTCTGCACGTATCTGTTGTGAGTCATTCACACAGGAAACAGCAGGTGGAGCCAGTGATTCAGGAAATCTCTCCCTCACAGAGACACGTATTAAACTCTTTAAACTCTTTAAAACTCTCTTAAACGTTTTTAGCCTTTTCTGCATGTTTTGGTGTTTTTGTCTGATCTGACAGCCCATCAGCTCATTAAACGAGCTTAAACACAGGTTTTAAAGATTGAAAACACTTTAATGTATGTTAATAACTGCAGTAAAGTGTGATTATATTATGATATGATTATTAAAAATGAATGTCATTAACAGTAAGCTGTTTCATTATAATATCTGTTATTATTAATGCACTGGTATGATTATATACTAACAAAACAGTGTTGTTTTTAATATTAGGCCTAAACACTGTGTTGATTATTAGAGATGGCGTGTTGATGTGGAGGGTTTGGGAACAATATCCGCAGAAATAGTGCAGCCTACATGACCAGTATGACCAGACTAGTCAAATACACTGGAAATATGAGGTATTGAGGTAGTGTCTGTTACAGGTTTACGACTCTCATTAAACTCAGAGTTTCCAGCTGTTTCTGCACATTTTAGTGGTTTTTTGCATCTGATAGAGCCCATCAGCTCATTAAAGCCCTTTCATGAGCTGAAATAGAGGCTTTAAAGACTGAAAACACTGTAGTTATGTTAATGACAATAGTAAACTGTGTTAATATTATGATATTATAAGATATTAATAATAATTGCCAGTAATATGAAGATGTTTCTACTGTGATTAATGTAATTACTGTAATTATATATTAATATTACAGCATTCATTGTAATAGTAAATGTCGTGTTAATCATTAGAGAAGGTATGTTGGTATAGCTGGGTGTGGAGCTGATGTCAGCAGACACGGCCAAAGTTGGTTGCCAGAAAGTAAACCTAATCCCCCTCACCCAATGAGAAAACAGGCATATTATATAATATATACTATGGACATCTTAAATCTGTATGTCTAGTATTTTAGTTTTGAGACGGCTGTGGGAATATTATGGTTATTTGACATATTCCTACTTGTTTGTTGTCATGTTATTAAGCAAAATGATCCACATTGGCAGAAAAGTTTGCTTATTTTTTTAAATATGCTGGAAACAAGTAGAATTATCTGCCATTGTTTTGGGAGAAAGACCAAGCTAGTCAAACTGCGTGACCAGTATGACCATCTAATCTTACAGTTTAACAAGCATTTCAGCAGGGATGTATCATTATTATTATTATTAATAATAATAATAATAATAATAATAATATTATTACTTTCACAAAACAAGACTGTCTTACTGTAACTGTTCAATATGAATGACAATAATATAGTAAACTGCTATTGTTATTATTAATAAAACATTATGTTCATTATTAGAGATGAACAGTGAAAACTATTGATCATTGTGAGACTGGACAGTGAAACCTGATCAGGCAGGATGCATTATAACTATGAATCATTATAAAAACTCCAATCCTATTTGATTTTTAAATGTCTGTCTGCCAAATCTTTGCACAATATCTCCTTATAAGTCTTTCCACCTGTAATATGATCCAAAAGTTTGAAACCTTATAACTTAGGACAAAACAAAAGTGGAAAACTGACCACTTTTAATGAGCCTGACCTCATCTTATGGGCAGTTTCTATTTTCTAACTTTAATCTATCGGGGAAAAAAACCTGTTCTGAGAAATTAATGACTAAATATTTCCCGTGGTGCGTTTTCTCCTCTATTTTGTTGACGTTGCTGAGGCTGAAGTGACTGTGCTTGTGTCGTTTTGCCTCTCAGCCAATGATAATGCACCACACGTAAGCCCCGCCCACCCCGGTTTGCTGATAAGTGTGCTGTCGGTCACTTATGAATGACCTGAGACCGCGAACAGGATCGATACGGAGAGGTTCAGCAGGCTGACTCACCTCAGAGGCGACACAGGAGAAGCAGCGTCTGTTTAGCTGTAAAAGTGAACTTACAGTGAATTAAACCGCGCTTTAAGAGGAGAAGACTGACCGGACCAACGATGCTGTCCCACACCGCTGTGCACCTGGTGCTGCTGCTGAGTTTGGGGAGCTGGGCTGAAGGACTCTGTCCAGATGATCTCGACAGCTCGTGTAAACAAAACCCTTACAAGGAGCCCGTCGGCTCAGGTAAGTGTGCCCATATATTCCATCCTTATGAAGTTTTAAACGGTCATAAACTCTGTCTTTATGAATATTTCCTCCTCTACATCTCCCAGACGCTTCACTCTGCCCTGCGCTTATTCAGAACAGAGCGAATGTGGTTTAGTTTCAGCAGCAGAGTCTCTACTTCCCAAACACATGTGGGTCTGCACGTATCTGCTGTGAGTCATTCACACAGGAAACAGCAGGTGGAGCCAGCGAGTCAGGAAATCTCTCCCTCATAGAGACACGTATTAAACTCTATATGTCTAATTAAACTAATAAGGGTTTTCAGGCAGAGTGAGGTCAGTAGAACAGATATAGTGTCTGTTTTAGGTTTAAAACCCTCTTAAACTCAGAGTTTTAACCCTTTTAAAACGTTTTAGTGTTTTTGTCTTATTTCAGCACATCTGTTAGAACCAATCAGCTCATTAAACCAGCTTAAATTAGAGGTTTTCAAGGTTGAAAACACTGTAATGTATGTTAATAACTACAGTAAAGTGTGATTAGATTATGATGTATGCATATGAATAATAATTGCCATTATATTTCTATATATATCTCTATACATATTTCTATTTTTTCATTTTTTATTTTATTTTGCCTTTATTTAACCAGGGTAGTCACATTAACATTAAAATCTCTTTTACAAGTGAGCCCTGACTAAGAAGGCAGCACACAAAACAATCAACAAAGAAACACCAGCAAACCAACATCAAATCAGAGTCGAAACCAAATTAAAAATAAGAGCAAATAGAATGATTCAGCTCTTTAACCGTTATCTTTAAATCACTCTTTGAAATAAGCTGCTCCAATTTTTTTTTCCAATTTTGCGGATCATTCCACGCTGATCTGTAACTAAAGCTGCCTCACCATATTCAGACCAAACTATCAGAACTATCAAGACTTGTTTGTTGATATGAATGCAGACAAATATGACGGATGCTGACCAATAATCGCTTTATAGACAAAAATTATCCAGTGAATTTGTCTTCGCACTGAAAGTGAAGGTCAATCAACCATAATGGTGAGCTGTTACAGTATAATAAGTGTTATTATTAATGTTCTGGTTTAATTATATGTTAATAATACAGTGTTGTTTTTAATAGTAGGCCTAAACACTGTGTTCATTATTAGAGACGAACCGTACAACCAAGCTGGTCGACTACACTGGAAACATTATATCTTGGCAAGTAGTGCCTGTTGATTGTTTAGACCTCTCTAAAACTTCGAATTTTCAGCTGTTTCTGCACATTTTGGTGGTTTTGTCGTCTCCAGTGCAACCAAGGAAGCTCATTAAAGCCCTTCACGAGGTTAAAATAGAGGCTTTAAAGATTAAACACTGTAGTTTATGTGATTGACAATAGTAAACTATGTTTATATTAAGATATTGATAATAATTGTAAATAATATTAAGCTGTTTTTAATGTCATTAATGCACTGGTGTAATTATATATTAATAATACAGTGTCCGTTGTATTATTAAACGTCATGTTAATGATTAGAGAAGGTGTATTGGTATAGCTGGTGTGGAGCTGATATCAGCAGAAATAGTGCAGCCCACGGGCCAAAGTTGGTTGCCAGAAAGCAACCCTAACTCCCCTCACCCAATGAGAAAACAGGGACTTTATATACTGTATACTATGGACAATACCATATCATTGTTATTGTGATATGAATGTTATTTTATTTTTAAAACTTTATTTGTGAAGTATTTTAGTAACAAACTACAGTGCAATTTTATAAAATGCATTTTTCAATCTTCTTTATTAGTATAATGTTTGATCTTTTCGGCCCTCGGCCCACTGTACTTTGCCCCCTTACCAAGGTGAAAAGTTTGGGCACCCCTGTTTTAACAGCTCTATCCCACAGTATCACTCACTCACAGTGTGTGATGTAATGTTAGCTGTGTCTTCCTGTAGAGAGAGTTTCAGCATCAGAGACGAGATCTTAAAGGGGAAGTCAGAGAGGTTTGGTGTGAAATGGTTCAGATGTCTTTACAGTGGTGGTGATGGGAACCAGGGGTCGCCATGACTACAACACAAATATAGACATTTTATTTACTATCCAGAACCACCAGTGAACCTACACGAGTCTTCTGAGTTTATATGGAATGTTGATGATGGAAAATAGTGGAAAATCTGAAATAATAAGTTTTCTTTGGGGACTATTTTGCCTCACAGCGCCCTGCATGTATCCCTCCACCATGAATGGAGTTTAAGTTCTCTAAACTATCATAAAACAGTGTCTCAGTCATCAGGCAGTGAATTCATAACCATTTCATGTAGGAACTTTCTGTGAGGGAGCTTTTAGAGGTGGACGTCTGGTTCCTATCACCACCACTGTGAACAGTTCTGACTCGGTAAGTTTATCTAGAACAGAGCGTTTCACACCAAAACACTCTGAACCGCTCTGAACCGCTCTGTTTACATCTTAACTGTTTAATTGATTTTGAAATAGGTGTAATTTCCCTTTATGTGCTTCAGTTAAAAACATCATTTTAAATATTAGTAGTTATTATTATTTAATAATTTATAAGTTTTTATGGAATCAGTATTGGAATCAGGAAAAGTAAGAGTGACGAGATGCCAGCTCTATTAATTAGAAATTCATAAATAAATAAAAGCAAATAGATCCCAGTGTATGACTGCTGCATCCTGTATGACCTGTGTGTGAGTGTGACCGGTGGGATGGGTGTGACCTCAGTGTTGTGAAAGCTGTGTCACGTCTTTCACGCTCTGCGGTTACAAGTGTCACACAGTAGTGTATGTGTGTTCAGCACTGTGCAAAAGTCAGAGACCCCCTTCATTTGTTTAATTTCCAGTCAAAACAGTCATAAAGTACAAGTTTTTCATTTTTCAGTGTCGGGAAAAACAGCAGAAAACACACCAAAATCACACAGAAGCCTCAACAACTAAATATAATATCAGGTTTTTATAACATTAAAGTCTGTCTATCAAAGAATCTGCAGACACACCTCCAAAGTTCAGTCTAAGTAGTTGGTTGGTCATTTTCTGAAGTAATTTTCTGGACTCTGGGGTGGTCAGTGCATTGTTCTGAGAACAAGTTTGATCTTCTCCTCAGAGTATGAATAAATATATTCATTCGCTCCTACGTGTTCCTGAGAGAAAAAATGATAACTATTCATCTAAAAGTGCTACAGTTTCACAAGAAACATGCTTAATCTGTCATAATTCATAATTTATGATCATTTTAAACCTCTCTGTATCATTTACATTTAAACAGACTGTTTCTATTACTGCACCTGTAAGACTGATATATGTGAATAAGTTCTGTTCTGATTAGCTGCCCTGTTTTGTGACTTGATGACTCCTTATAACTTCAGTGTGAGTGGGCGGGGCTAAACTGCTGCAGGCTGAACAAGAGAAAATATGTAAATTAGTTGGTTTCCAATTTATTCATTCCAATAAAATGAGGTGTTCTTATAGGTTAGTTTCCAAATACAGAATTATTCAGTAAATACTATGAATTGTTCAATATGTTTTATGAATTATTCAGTATCTGTTCTGAATTATTCAGTATCTGTTATGAATTATTCAGTATCAGTGTCCATTAAGAACTCCAGATGTTGTTCTACATGCCAAAACCTGCTCAGATCCTCCACCATGTTGTCTGATGGTTGTAGTCATGGTTTGCAGAGTCCTTCATTTCATTATATCAGATCTCATCTCCTCAGAAATGCCTACTGAAAATCAGTGCCTTGTACTAAATGGCTCTTTTGAATGGAGATTAAATAAATGACGGGGTCTCTGACTACAGTGCTATACGTCTGTGTGTGTGTGTGTGTGTGTGTGTGTGTGTGTGTGTGTGTGTGTGTGTGTTAAACGTGAATCAGCTCATATTCCTCACATTCCTCTGTACTTGTGTGTGTTTCAGACACTGTAGTATCGTATGAGCAGCTGAAACAGATGTTGGAGTCTGGAAACGTGCAGCTGTTTGACGTTCGTGAGCCAGATGAGTTTGAAGAAGGAGCGATTGCAGGAGCTACTAACACTCCCTGTGAGTAACACACACACACACTCACACACACACACACACACACACACACACACTCACACACACACACTAACAAAATGAATATATCAGTAAAATGTCCTGTTGTGATTATGGGGGGATATTATATGTAGTTCTCTCAGGGTCTCAGCTGTAACAATGAGTGTGTTTACATGCTCTCAATAATCCGATCATAATCAGATTTCTGCAGTTATCCGATTATTCAAATGGTCACGTAAACACCATGCTCCGATCTAGAAATGTGAGTAAGAAATTCAGTAATCAGATTTCTCAGTGTTGTAAACTCTTACTCTGATTTCTTTCGGGTTTCTCAGTCTGCGTGTGCGTGAGGACAGTTGGCGGTACCAGAAATAAACAAGCAGTGTTGCCGCGAGACACAGCAAAACACTTCAATGATGACCAATTTTTTTTCATCTTCTAGATGATGTATGTTCATATTTTTCATGTAAAGTTTAAAAAAGCCGCTCGTGAAGTTTTAATTTTACATTACGTTTACGTCACGTCTTCTTCTGTGTGTTTATTGGCTGGTTGTAAAGCAGAAATCTGATTACTGTCTGACTCATGTAGACCCAGAGTTTCCCCATTATCTGATTGCCCAAGAGCATGTAAACGTATTGATTGGATTACTGACAAAATCTGATTTTCTGCAGTTATCAGATTATTAAGTAAACACACTCAGTGTGTTGAACTAGCTCCCCCGTGTGGAGGCTGTACTGTAGTGTTTTTCTTTGTGTACTTGCGTTGTGTGTGTTTCGGGCCTGAGACTGTGTGTAATGTGTGCAGTGTCAGAGCTGGAGCAGGCCTTCACGCTGCCCCCGGATCAGTTCAGAGAGCTGTACGGAGTCTCCATGCCGGGGAAAGATGACCCACACTTTATCCTGTACTGCCAGAGGGGGCGCCGCAGTCTCACTGCACTGGAGATTGTTCAGGGTCTGGGCTACAGCAGGTACACAACGTGTGCAATCAAATCATTATGACTGTCTTCTGTTTTCATGATGTGCCTTGAGTACAGTATAAGCCTGCACCCTTAAAAATTATGGTACTTCAAGGGTTCTTTACAAAAGAAAATGGTTCTATATAGAACTTTGAACACTCAAAGAACCCTTTGCATGATTAAAGAGTTCTTTGCATCAGTTTGATGGAGAATGTGTTGTATGCGGTTCTATATAGCACCAAAAAGGGTTCTTCTATTGTGACAAGCCTGGCATTGTAACAACAGAAGAACCCTTTTGGTGCTATATAGAACCCTTTTCAAAAAGGTTCTATTTAGAGCCATCTACAGCACATTCTCAATCAATCTGAAGAACCATTTCATGATGCAATTAACCCTTTAATCAGGCAAAGGGTTCTTTGAGTGTTCAACTGATACCATGGCTTTTCTTAGAGTTCACACAGCTCAAACTTCTTAGTTGAGTCAAAAGCTCTCTTAATTTTTTGGTTCTGTATCTCAGTTTGGTAATAAAATTAACTTGTTTTTTATACTTAACTTCCCCACCTGACAGGACTCATTTTTCCTCTTGGGTACTCACTTACATATGGCTGTGGCATCACTGGGGCTCAAACTCACAACCCCCTGTTGGGGTGACAGCTTCGTCCACTGCACCACTCAGGAACACATGAAGCAGCTCAGATTTTGTGTCTACACATGTTTAAAACACTGGAGAAAATATTTTAACTTTAAAGCAGAGCACAGTTTCATGTAGTGCATCTATCTAATAATTCATCCCAACATCAGGAGATCATGAGTTTGAATCCCAGCAATACCACAGCTATCCATATCTGGAAGCCCAAGAGGAAAATATGCCAGACTTGACTGTGTGATAGAAGGAGCGCCAGCTAGTGGGGAAACTGAGTAAAAAACACAAGTTCAGTTTTGTTTATCTAACTGAGATGCAGATGTGGAAACAGTAGCTGAGAGAATTTTAGGCTCAACTAAGAAGTTTGAGTTGTGTGAACATGAAATCAGTTACTGTATCATTTTAAGTTGAGCTGACCTAATTTTTTACAGTGTAGAGCTTTAAAAGCCAGCAGCAGAGCTTTAAACTCTCTCTAAAAGACCCAGGCGGTCAGTGCGGTGTGTGAACGGGGTGATATGAGCTCTCTGTGTTGGTGTTGTGCTGCTGCACTGCTGTGAAATGTAACAGCTGTGGAAAATCGTTGTGGCCATTATGTAATAATTGTGACAGGTTTAATAATCACTAAATGTTAATTGATACCTTTTAGGTCAGTTAAGCCCCACTAAGTGAGTATCTCTCTCTCTCTGTCTCTCTTTTAGAGCTCGTCACTATGCCGGAGGTTACAGTGAGTGGGCCGAGCTCGAGGCGCAGTGACAGCGGCTGTAACATCAGCTGTTCTGGGATCAGACTCACGTTGTTTACTGATGATATAAAAGGACAGGCCAGTGATTTAGTTTCAGAGTTCAGTGTTTGGGTCAGATGAGGAGTGAAAACAGAACAAGAGTCCAGATCAGCAACTGAATCATTCACTGTGGTGAAGAAGCATGAAAACTTGCATGTAGGGACTTTTTACCCCTCTGGGGGGTCTGAGCTCATTCTCTCGATAAACTGTCCTTTAAAGGCTCTTCATATATCATGATCCTCATATGTTTCATATCTAAATGCTCCGTTATCTTCATCACTACTTTCCAAAACCGCTGCAGCAGCTTCAGCAGCTGTAAACTCTCTGCACGCCGTTTCACATGAGTCTCCGATGTGGACTGAATGAAGAATGAAGGGTTTCCGGCGTGATGGTCAGTCCTTAGTGATTTCCTGAGTGTCCATTGGTCAGTTTCACACAGAATGTAGACGGACACACCAATCCACCAGCTCCACACGGTGAGAGGCAGATGACGTGTATCTCAGCCCCTCTTCATAGGCTCATAACTCCGGATGTGAGTCTCGTATGATCTCGTGATAAGATGGAATGGAAAGGGCGACTCTACAGATTCAGGAAGTGTCTGAACTGGATTTCTGAGCTGGATCATCACAAAGATACAGACACAGATATAATAATAGAGAATCTGACACATGGGCGAGTTTGTGGACCTCAGAGGGTTAAACACTGACATTCAGCTTTAGAACACCCCACTGCCCTCAACTCCAAGTGAAATGGAAGTAATGCATGACAGCAATAATTAATAATTAATAAAGCAGTAAATAAAAATAAATAGTGAATAAAACTGTCAAACAGTTGCATGCAAGGTTTCGTGCTGCACCAGTGTGAATGATTTGGGCACTTCTGAGAAACTTTCCCCCTAACCCTAACCAGAAAGAAACCTGGATTTATTATTATTTATAAAAATATAAGGTGCATATAATATATAATGTAAGATATAAATGTTTTTAAGAGCTGCTATTTTGGACATCGGTCAGGGAGCCTGCAATGTTTACAGGTAAACTAGTTTACAGAACACTGTAATTTATTGGAGATTACTATTTAAGAATTTCAGGAGAAACTGTAAATTCAGTGCACAGAAACAATTCAGGTAAAGTTTCTGTTTCGGTGCTGTCTGTATTTTTGCATCAAAATAAAGCAGTTTTGTTTTGCAATGCTGTTTGCATCGTCACTGCATTGAGAATGGGATATAATAATGATTTGAAAAACAATATTTACATTACAGTTTAACCCCTTAAATAACCAGGACCCAAAGTTTTATTATATGTATTATATATTATATATTATATCTAAGAATAGTCCCTGTAGTTACTGAATAATAAGCCTTAGTGTGTAATAAGACTGAGATTTTAAGGGGTTAAATAATTTAAGAAAAGAACACTGGGCCTCATTCACCAGTATCTTCCTAAGTCTGTTCTTAAGTGAGTTCTTGAGAAAGATCCTAAGAAAAAGTCTCCGTCAGATTCATGACGTGTTCTTAAAGTGCAGAACTGTTCTCACCTCTGTTCTCTTGAGTGTGTTGATTCTGTTCTTACCTAAGAACAAACCCACATAAGAGAACGTTGGAGAGTCAGAGTCTTCGTCAGAACTGCGTAAGTGGGTTTTAAGATTAAGCTTCTTCTTTAGACTGGTTGGTGAACGAGGCCCAATGTTCTTTTACTGTATTACATAATTAGATAAATATTCTGGAGAAGTGATTTTCTCCTCTGGATGAGTTTTTATGGAAATGAAAGCTTTTATCGCATTAATAATCCTCTAATTATACACTCTTAAAAAGAAGGTTCTTTAAGGGTTCTTTATTAAAGACAGTGCCTCTATATGGAACAATGAACACGCAAAGAACCACTTGCATGCTTAAATGGTTCTTTGCATGGAAAATGGTTCTTTAGATTGATGGAGAATGTGTTGTATATGGTTCTGTTTAGAACCTTTTTGAAAATGGTTCTGTACAGCACCAAAGCAATAGCAGAATCCTTTTTGGTGCTACTTGGCTCCATATACAACACATTCTCCGTCAATCTGAAGAACCATTTTACCATGCAGAGAACCCTTTAAGCATGTAGATGGTTCTCTGAGTGTTAATGGTTCTATATAGATCCACTTTCTTGAAGAACCATCTCTTTAAGAGTGTGCATTACACTCATTTCCCTTTAAAGCACATCATACTCAGCTAGACTCCACCTCACCACTGGATATGAATATGAACTGGAATATTGATGAATTTCGTTTGACTACAAACCAGAAATACGCAAAAAAAAACAAAAAAACAGTCCGAATAATAGTTTATAGTTTTGAAGGTGTGTATGAAAAGAGAAAAATGTTTAGGAAAACTCACACTGATAAACAAAACACTGAAAATGGCTTGAGTGAGATCTTTAATAAGGAAAGATAACAGAACCACAGGGCCCTGACGGCTGAGTGTGAACTAAACGTTTGACTTTAAAGGAACAATATGTGACATATTTACTGTAATAAATCATAAAGTGGCCATGATGTGTGATCAGAGATTAAAGAAACATGCTCAGCTGAAATACCGGCTTCTCCAACGACAACTACAGCCAGCATGCTCTCCGTTGAGATTTCCGTTCTGTTTGTGCTGTGGTCCTGCCCACTGCCCATTTCACAGTACCATTTCCTCACCCCGGGTTGCCAGATGTGAAACAAATTGGTAAACACAGCGAGCTGCAGCCACGGAAGGAAACAAACTGGATCAGCAGAGATGACGTCAGATTCTACCCGAGCTAAAAAGCTTCTAAACAGCTCCAAGACCAGAGACGCAGTTAAAGCAAGACGCTTAGAGCCCAAAGGACTTTGAGATGGATGGCGAGTCTCCTGAAGGGGTCAGCATTGAGCTGTATTAAAGCAAATTTTATTAAGTAAACTTAAGTAAAGTGTATTTCCCAAGTAGAGTTTATGTAGTAAGTTTACTAATATCAATGTACTAGTAGTTTACTAGCAAGTGTACTATTTGAGTACTTCGTGGGACTAAATTGGCCCACTTTTAGTTTAAAAAAGTACACTAATAACACACGTTTATAAACTTCTTTTTTGTTAGGGTAGCTAACCTTAACTAATTTATCACTGATGCTAGAAGGGACGGGTGCTTGTCTTCAGGATTACGGGCTTAGCTTTGGCCACTGTACACAGCCAGCCATGCATCTAACTAACACTGAGTTGCAAAACTCCACACAAGCTGGTTTATAGTAATATATATAAAACATTGCAAACGTACATTAGCGGATCAGCTTACAGTGTAAGACTCGTCATCACTTGATATTGTCAAGTTTAATGTCATTGTTTGTGTAGGTTCAGTGTGCTTAATCTGGCAACCCATGTGAGCTTGGAGTCTGGGGAGGAGCGGGTGGGGCTAGAAAACTCCCCAATATTTGGGCACTGAGTTTGGACTGTAGTGCCCATTTTAAACACGTGCTCTCAGGATCACATATCGCTCCTTTAAAGTCGGATCAGAACTGAATCAATGTTGTTTTTAATGTTATGTTGATGTTCCTGATCATACTGAGCTCGACTGATCGCATCATCATTTAAAAGACTATATTCTTGTTTTCCCATGATGTTTTGGATGACGCCCCAACTCACCCCCGAACATATCACTGCAATAATTCACATAATTCATATCATTTACATTAAATACACAAAGACATAAAACAAATACATTTACAGAACCCAACAGACTGCAGCAGCTATCAAACAACATATATGTATATCTATACATATGTGTGTGTGTGTGTGTGTGTGTGTGTGCGTGTGTGTGTGTGTGCGTGTGTAAAAATGTATCTATTAAATATGAAGCTTTAATCTGAAGGAGCCGATTCAACTGCACTTTTGAGATTATAATAATATTCCATAAAAATCCAAGCATTTTTGTCCCAAATTAAATCTCTCAGGACTTTTAAAACAAGAAAAGCTTGGAGTTTTGCTTCTACTGCCTGTACAGTCACATTTCTGTATTTCCAAAAACAAAACTGAACTGTATTAAAACTATAAATGAATTGGAAGATAATCATTTGAGATTCCGTGATGCACTGAATCATTACCTGGATCAGACTGAATCAGAATGGAATTTGAGATATTATGATGCAGTCCGTTGTTTTTTGTTGAATTGAGTTGATTTGAACTGAATCAGACTGAGTCAGGATGAAATGTGAGCTTTTATGACTCACTGAATCATTTCCTAAAGAATCGAATGGAATAAAACTGAATCAGGATGGAATTTGAGCTTTTATGATGCACTGAATCGGTTCCTAAAGAGCTGAGTCACTGTGGATGGTTGTGAGGTCACAAATATAAACTGCTGGTTTGAGTGATTAAGGAAGTTCACTGATGTCCACGCGCTGAGTGTCCATTAGGAGTCGAGCTGAGGAACATTCAGGTACATCCCACCCTCATCGTCATCACCTTCATCACACACCTCCACTGGGTCTCCCTTCTCTTGTTTGTTCTGGGGGACACCTGAAGGCTGCACTGGAACACGGATCGGATTACGCACCTTTCTCCTCCGCTGAGAGAGAGAGAGATACAGAGAGAGAGAGAGAGAGAGAGATACAGAAAGAGAGAGAGAGAAAGATACAGAGAGAGAGAGAGAGATAAAGAGAGGAAGAGAGAGAGAGAGAGAGAGAGAGGGAGAGAGATAGAGAGAAACAGAGAGGAAGAGAGAGAGGGAGAGAGAGAGACAGAGAGAGAGAGAGGAGCAGTTTAAATGAAGTGAATTATGTCTGTTATAGATGATATAAAGTGGAACTTAATGAGAACCTGTATAATATGGGTTCTTTAATACGAGAGTAATGGTGATGTGGAAGGTTCTGTAGATGACGTTCTATCAGTGCATGAGGACAGAGGAGGAGTGTGAGGGAGAACTGTTCTCTCTGAGTCTCTTTACCTTCCTACAGACCAGGCCAATGATGATCCCCATCAGAACCACAAACCCTGCAGCACCACAGGAGATGTACACGATCATCATCACCGGCAGACCTGAGGAACCAAAGCACAGTTAGGCAGGAGCACCAGCCTTCAGAACCTACTGCGTTAGCTACGCTTACTCACAGAGTACAGGGTTCCACAGAGCAGAACTGTCTGAGCAGGAGAACATTCTAGAACATTCTATAGCAGTGTGAATAAGGGAGAACATTCTAGAACAGTGTCAATGGGTAGAACAGTCTAAAACAGTGTGAATGACGGAGAACATTCTATAGCAGTGTGAATAAGGGAGAACATTCTAGAACAGTGTCAATGGGTAGAATTGTCTAAAACAGTGTGAATGAGGGAGAACATTCAAGAACATTCTATAGGAGGGTGAATGAGGGAGAACATTCTAGAGCAGTGTGGATGGGTAGAACAGTCTAGAACAGTATGAATAGTAGATAACTTTCTAAAACAGTTTGAATGAAAAGAACTTTAATAAATGGGAAGAACATACTAGAACTGTATGAATGGAAGAGAGCGTTCTAGAACACTGAAAGGGGAGAACAGTCTAGAACACTATGAATGGTAGAGAACTTTCTAGAACTGTGTAACTAGGGAGAACATTCTAAAACAGAGTGAACAGTAGAGAACACTGTAGAACAGTATGACGGGGTGAAACATTCTGGAACCTTGAATAGAGGAGAACGTTCTAGAACAGCATAAATTGAAATTGAAAGTTAAATCGTTTGATACCACATATAAAAAGGCCACACTCTGACTGTAATAACATGCTTCTGCCACTTGGGGCCAGTGTTCTACACTTTCAGACTCCAGGATTTCATCCATGATCCATATAGCAGTCTCAATAATCTGATTATAATCAGATTTCTGCAGTAATCCAATTATTCAAACGGTCATGTAAACACCATACTCCGATCTAGAAATCTGTTTAAGAGAGCTGGATTTTAGCTCAGTAATCAGATTTCTCAGTGCTGTAAACTCTTACTCTGATTGCTATCTGAAAACAGACGGTGGATGTTGCGAGATGCAGCAAAACACTGTTGGAGCGGCGCTGAAACCAAAAAGGAAATAAAGGATTTAAATATTCTTCATCTTCTAGATGATGTTTGTTTATATTTTCAGGTAAAGTGACTCAATGTTTAAAAAAAGCCACGGTATGAAGTTTGAGTTTTACATTACGTTTACATCACATCTTCTTCTGTGAGTTTATTGGCTGGTTGTGAAGCAGAAATCTGATTAGTGTCTGACTCATGTAGATGCTGAATTTCCCCATTATCTGATTACCATGATTATCTGCAGGTAAATGTGTTGATCAGATTACTGACAAAATCTGATTTTCTGCAGTTATTGGAATATTAAGTGCATGTAAACGCACTCAGTGTTTACTAGCAGGTCCCACTAACTTACTAAATTAGTAAATTCTTCAGCTTCTGTATTTTGGATCTTTTCAACTAAACAGTTGCACTTTCAGAAAAAGAAAACAAACGAAACTTCTCAATGATAGATTTATTTACTGCTTCTGAAGTCTTTTCAAATGTCTCGGCTCTAGAACAGCTCTTCTGTGTGTGTGTCTAAGGCTGGACTCTGGCCGCAGTAACATCTCTCTGCCACCTGGGGTCAGTGTTCTACACTTTCAGAGTCCAGAATCCTTCAGATTCATCCAAAATCCATACAGCAGACTCAGAGTTAAACTAACTTGCTAAATTACTCATTTCTTTAGCTTTAAATTAAGGGAAGAAGGGGAAGGAATACACCAGAAATGAACAGTCAGGCTTTAAATATGAAAATTCCTGCCACAAATATTTCAACTGCAGTAATAATAAAAGCTGACGTGAGCTGACCTGCTGTGGGCTGTGAGGTGGAGGAAGGTGGACGCTTTGTTGTTCCAAAACTTTTACTGAGAGTATCTGTAAAATATATGTATGTATAAAACGCATGTTGAAAAGCATATATATTAAAGACAGACGTTAATTTGAAGGAAAATGAATTCCGCTATCGATGTCTGTGGTACTCAGAAAGTTTCCAAACCTGATATGCTTGGTTCTACTAACATTTTTCCTCCGAATGTGGACGGGTCCTCTAAATAATGAGATCACTAAAGAGCCAAAATACAACCCCATTTCCAAAAAAGGGATGCTGTGCAAAATGTGAATAAAAACAAAATTCAATGATGTGCAAATCAGTTAAACCCTATATTTTATTGAAAATAGTACAAAAACAACATATCAAATGTTGAAATTGAGAAATTTTATTGTTTTTTGAAAAATATTTGCCCATTTTGAATTTGATGCCAACAACACCTTCCAAAAAGTTGGGACGGGGGCCTGTTTACCACTGTGTTTCATCACCTCTTCTTTAACAACACTCTGTAAGTGTTTGGGAACTGAGGAGACACTGCTGTAGTTTAGAAAGTGAAATGTTTTCTTGTTCTTGTTTGATACAGGATTTCAGCTGCTCATCAGTTCAGGGGCTCATTTGTCGTATTTTTTGTTTCAAAATGCACCAAATGTTTTCAGTGGTGACAGATCTGGACTGCAGGCAGGTCAGTTTAGCACCTGGACTCTTTTAATACAGAGGAATGCTGCTGTAATACATGCAGAATGTGGTTTGACATTGTCTTGCTGAAATAATGAGGGCCTCCCTGAAAAAGACGTTGTTTGGATGGCAGCATATGTTGCCAAAACATGTATATTATTGTTCAGCATTAATGGTGACAGATGTGCACGTCACGTATACCATGTGCACTAATGCCCCCCTAAACCATCATGAATACTGGCTTTTGAACTGTGCACTGATAACAAGCTGAGTGGTCTTTAGCCCAGAGGACACAGTGTCCATGACTTCCAAAAAGAATTTCAGATTTTGATTTGTTGGACCACAGGACACTTTTCCACTTCCCCTCCATCCATTTTAAATGAGCTCGGGCCCAGAGAAGGTGGCAGAATTTTTACTTCTGAAAGACTCCGCCTCTCTGAGATGCTCTTTTATACCCAATTACCACCAGGTGTTTTTTAGCTTTACACAACTGTACCAGCCTTTCATTACCCCATCACAACTTTTTTGGAAATGGGATTGCAGAAATGTTCATCTTTCAGCTCCTTAATGACCTCGTAATTCAGAGGATCCGTCCAAATTTAGTGGAAAAATGTATGTAGTACAAAACTGTATGTAGTATGTGCTTTTACACACACTAGAAAGAGCACTTACACCTATCCTTATACCTCCCCTCCGGCTACATGGAAATGTTTTGGTACTCCTGGCCACATTACATATTTCGCTGTTTTTAAAGTGATAAGAAAAAAATACAATCTCTGCAACAAACTACTAAAAACTAATTTTTTTCTGCAAATGTTAATGCACAGCTGCTTGTGGCATGTGCACCTGTTTGGATACCCTTCTAGTTGTTAAGTCTGAGAACCTTATGAACTTATGCCTTAATTGACCCATTAGGCCGGTCGTTGTCAGCTGATGAGAATTCCAGAGCATAATAAATTCTCTGACTCTTGTTTTTTTCCTAACACTCAACTCAAAAACAGATCAGGCTCCAGCTCACAGTTTCCACTGTCTGAAATTTCATTAAGTAATGCCAGTTAAGGGGAGCTGTGGAAATCAAGGCAATATCTGGAAATTTGAGAAAGAAAAGCTTGTATGCAGGACAGAAAGGCAAAGCAAAACCCCCACATGACAGCAAAGGACCTGCAGGAAGGTTTAGCTGACACAGAAGTGATGATACACCATTCTACTGTGCAGCACTGCTCACAGAAACATGATCTGCATGGAAGAATCATCAGAATGAATTCCTGACCTGCAACCTCATCACAAAAGTCTGCAAAACAACATCTGGATCATCCAGAGTCACTTTGGAAACAAGTACTGTGGACTGATGGAAGAAAAAATTGAATGCTTTGGCCACAATCAACAAAGGAATGCTTAGAGAAAAAAGGAGCAGCACCTGATGAAAGAAACACCATGCCGACTGTTAAGACTGCCTGGATCTGTTATGCTTTGGGGTTCTGCGGCAGCTGGTGTGTAGATGGAAGAATGGATTCCACTAAATTTCAGCAAATTCTGGAAATGTGACACAGTCAGAGAAGAAGCTGAAGCTGAAAATAGGCTTCGACATCAGGGCAATGATCCAAAACACACCTCAAAATCCACTTTGAGCTGGTGCAAGCGGATGCTTTTGGAACAGCCCTCACTGTCTCCTGACCTGAACATCACTTAGAATCTGGGGGTAGATTTTAAACATGCTGTGCATGCAACACAATCACAGAACTAGAAGTGTTCTAGCAAAAAGAGTGGGTGACAATTCCTAAAACAAGAAGAGAAAGACTCAGCAAAATGTGCAAACAAAAAGCATTTGCAGGCTGTGAAATCTGCCAAAGCAGGTTTAGTACTGACTTCCTACAATTACTATTTTATTTTTCATTTCAAGTTTATCAACTATAAAGTACATGTGCGTTAAAAATTCGCAGAAAATGATATTTATGTAAAATTTTAATTAGTGTGCTGCGTTCACTTTTACTTCAAAAAAATGTGTAATTAGGCCAGGGGAACCAAAACAGTAGCTTCAAGCTGAAGAATGAAAGTAGATTTGTTTTGTTTTGATTTTGATTTGTTTACCATATTTCTCATCTTCTTTCTCATCTTCCTCCAGCAGCAGGACTCGCCCCTCCAGACTGCCGCTGGGGTATGTGGTCAGTTTGCAGCAGTACTCCCCGAAATCCCCCTCCTGCACTCTGTTAAGGATGAGAGTGTGGTACCCCTCAGTGGAGACGTGGCCGTTGTAGCTCTGGTTAACCACATGAGCTCCAGGTTGTTCTTTATAGACAAGGATGATGTGGTCAGGACAGCGGCTCCACTGAGACTGGACGACGTTAACCTTTTCTTTAGCCTGACAGGTCAGAGATGCTGAGTGACCGAGCCGAGCGCGAACTGTCTGTGACGTGATCATCTCACTGTCTGCTGGACACTCTGAGTGAGGAAAAAAGATAGTATTATTGGATTATTAGAGACTATTGTGGAGATACCTACTTGTGTGTATATATACATATATATGTACAACCCCATTTCCAAAAAAGTTGGGACGCTGTGCAGAATGTAAATAAAAATAGAATGTCATGATATGCAAATCATGTAAGCCATATTTTTAAAGGGAAATACTACAAAGACGACATATCAAATGTTGAATGTCCAGACCCGTCACCACTGAAAACATTTGGTGCATTGTGAAATGAAAAATATGACAAAGGAGCCCCTGAACTGATGAGCAGCTGAAATCCTGTATCAAACAAGAACAGAAAACATCTCAGTTTCTAAACTACAGAGTGTTGTTAAAAGAAGAGGTGATGAAACACAGTGGTAAACATCACCCGTCCCAACTTTTTTGGAACGTGTTGTTGGCATCAAATTCAAAATGGGCGTTTATTTTTTAAAAAACAGTAAAATTTCTCAGTTTCAACATTGGATGTGATGATTCGGAAAAAAACTCTGGTTCCATTAACTGACATTAAGAGTAAAGTATGTTTTTTCCTTCTCCTGTAAAGTAGGCATTTCGGAGATACAAGGTTTTGTTCCCAACAACAGCGATATATATATATATATATATATATATATATATATATATATATATATATATATATATATATATATATACACTCCCATGCAAAAAAATAGACCAAATAAGTATTTACCAATTTTTCCACCTGGTCAGAGTCCAGATTTAATATTTAGTCTCACATTAAATACAAACTAGCTTGTCAGTGTTTTTCAGCTGTTTGAAGCCGTCAGTGATGCTGTTCTGCTCATTACAGTTGTACAGAGTGGTTATCTGAGTGGCTGTAGCCTTTCTGTCAGCTTGAACCAGTCTGTCCATTCCCCACTGACCTCTCTGATCAGTAAGACACTTCTGTCTGCAGAGCTGCTGCTCACTGGATGTTTCATCTTTATCGCTCCATTCTGAGTAACTCTAGAGACGCTGTGTGTGAAAATCCCAGAAGACCAGCAGTTATAGAAACACTCAAACCAGCCAGTCTGGACAACAATCACGCTACGCTGAAGCTGCTGCTTGTATCTTCATGATTTTATACACTGCGCTGCTGCGCACGATTGGTGATAGAACCATGAACACTCAAAGAACCCTTTGCATGATTAAAGAGCTCTCTGCATAGTGAAAGCATTCTTCAGGTTGATGTAGAATGTGCTGTACATGGCTTCATATAGACCCTTTTTAAAAATTCTATATAGCACCAAAAAGGATTCCACTATTGTTATGAGCCAAGGAACCCTTTTTTGCTGCTATATAAAAATGTTTTTTTTCTAAGAGTGTAGTTCTTCAGGTTGATGGAGAATGTGTTGTATATGGTTCTATATAGTACCAAAAAGTGTTCTTCTCTTGTACACGAACTTGACAACAATAGCAGAACCCTTTTTGGTGCTTTTAACTGAAATTTTAACTGACCCATGACAGATTAACGGGCCCTGTGGTGGTTCTACTGTGACAAGCTTGACATAATAACAATCACAGAACCCTTGTGGTGCTATATAGAACCATGTACAACACATTCTCCATCAGTCTGAAGAAGCTTTTCACCATGCAAAGAATCATTTAATCATGCAAAGAGCTCTTTGAGTGTTCATGGCTCTATATATAATCACTAAAGAACCATTGAAGAACCATCTTTTCTAAGAGTGTAGCTTTAGCACACACTCATTGCACAGATGGAATCTAGCCTACAACACATGCACATATTCAGCTGTAAAAGTAATTAGCATAATAAACGATCATAGCTGATTAATTTATGCTGGTTAGCTCATCTTCCCATCACAGTCTACTTCATAGAGTAACACACATCCACTCGGCTGCTTGCTCAGCAAAATTAGCCAATCACAGCAAATCACACAGACTGGACAGGACAGCTTTTTTCTGGTGACTGCTTTACTGACGATGGCTGACCGTCTGCCTTTCCATAGCTGGGGTGGCCAGAAGAGTGGCAGTACTTTGTGCTAGGGTGGGACTGGCCACCCCTGGCCACCCCTTGGCTAAGTCTCTGCATTAAAAGCTTAATGTTTTGGTATTTTGGGCTGATTTTTGGATGGCAGTGTATATATATCTTACATTCTCCTCCACAATTATTGGCACCCCTGGTAAAGATGAGTAAAAAGGGTTACAAGAAAGGCTTCGTTCACACAGCAGGTAAAAGTGGCTCAAATCTGATTTTCTCACCAAATCTGATTTTCCCACCAAATCTGATTATTTTGTTTGTCTGTTCACATTCATCTTTTAAATGTGATCTGTATGCGACATCAGTCTGAACAGATCAGCTCCTAAACTGACCCACAGAGCAAAAGAACAGAGCGTCACGCTGCTTCACGGCTCGTCCAGAGGTAAACAATCACGACTGCTAACGAACGCCAGTCGCTCCCGGAGGATCAGCTTCATCTTGACCAGCATCACAGGAGCCATCATGAAGCTTCACTGACTGACAGCTGGGCTCATCACCCAGAATGTGTTGGAGCCGTAAAAAGGGCGCGGTCACTTCTTTGGTTCACGTCCTCGGATTCTTTAAACTCTGCTTTCAGACTCTTAACTGTTCTTTGACGCTGCAGCCTCGTTCTCCTGTGGCCGCGTTCTCCTGTGGCCGCGTTCTCCTGCAGCCTCGTTCTCCTGCGGCCGCGTTCTCCTGCAGCCTCGTTCTCCTGCGGCCGCGTTCTCCTGCGGCCTCGTTCCTCGTTAGTTTAATCTCACACTGAAAAAATGAGAACTGAAGTTAATTTATTCTGACATTTATTCTAATTTAAGTTAATTTATTCTAGCCTGTGTTTATCGTGGTCCACGTGCTTTTGTTTTGTTTTGGTGTGTTTTCGTTGTTATTCTGTGTTCCCTCCTCACCGTCCTGCAGCTTACTGATTAGCTTTCAGCGGCTGTTGAGCTGCTGAGCTGTTGAGCTGCTGAGCTGTTGAGCTGCTGAGCTGTTGAGCTGCAGAGCTGTTGAGCTGTTGATTGAGGACCGTACGCTGCTGTGTTGATGTACGCTGGTGATCGTGAAGTGGAAACGTAAAGTGGTTTTACTGTAAAGCACTTTGGTTTTAAATGTGCTGTATGAATAAAATTGACTAACTTATGTATTTCCTTACACTGATGTCGGCGCGTGTGGGTTTGTTAAAAATAATTGTTGATGAGGAATTTTTAACTCAGAATAAATTTACTTCAGTTGAAAGTTGGATTTTTTTCAGTGTGAGATTTACTTGGAATGAAAGCTCTTAACTTTCAATGTAAGATAATGTAAAGAGCTTTGATAAGTGATTTTGGAGCGTTTCTATTGGTCCACTCTTCTTGATATTTCCACACAGGGTGGCTGCTGAGCTCAAATGGAGAGTTTGCAATCACAATAATAAGAAGTATTTTATTCAACAATAACATATACAGTGTAGATTAAAAAGCTGAACAGCAGAGAATGTTTATGTTTAATTCCACATTATTTTTTTGGGAGAAATTACTAAAAGAATAATTAACATACTGTAATTACATATTTATAGCAATTCCTAAAAACTACTTCAAGATTTGATCACACTGAAAATATGAGGTTTTCTTGATACTGAGGCTAAAATTTCATTCTCAAAATATTTTCAAAATTTCATTCTGGATGTTAATTTTGTTAAAACTTCTACTAAATTTCTCATTTTTACAGCTTAGTGAAGGGGTTTTAATTTAAGAATTTCCAGCATTTTTCTTCTTTTAAAAAGGTTTTTTTTTTATTTAAAGCTACAGACAAGATTAATTAAACAGATTCATTAAATAAATTAATTTTTTATTAGTTCTTTATTATTTAATTAATTCATTAATTATAAAATGCTGAATTTAATTAATTTCCCTGCGTTAGATGTAGATCAGTGTCTGAACATTATGAGCTGAATTCAGGCTGGATTAACCTGAGCCTGTAGAGCTATTTGTTCTGCCAAAAGTGATCAGTATGATCAGTAGACAGTATTAATCAGGTTTCAGCGGCGGAGTGTCTGTCGGACACACAGCCCTCTGGATCTGTTCAGCTCTTTGTTAGAGAAGCGGGTTGTGAAATGACTGTTGAGGAGTTTAAGCTCAGCGTTACAAAGACGTAAATAAAGACGTGAAGCAGGAGGTCGTGTGGTTGGAAGTTTCAGCCCCCGCACATCTGTTAATCTGGGTTACTGACACTTTAACTCTGCTACCCTTATCTGGGCTTAAACACAGAACAGAAGTGATCAGACACTGCGAAGTTGTTTTTATTGTTATTTTATTACATTACAAAAGATTTATGTTTATAGCACGATTTAACATACGAAATATCTATCTATAGATATATTATATAGACATTTTAAACAGTTATGATAATACTAATATACCTCTGTGTGTGGCTCCAGACTTCAATTCCCTACTTTCACACCTATAGACCTTCATTAGTTTCATAGTAGATGCTGAAAAATTCATTTTTAATACTGAATAATTCATAGTAGACACTGAATAATTCATAGTGGAAAATGAAAACTTCATATTTAATACTGAATAATTTGTATCAGATACTGAATAATTCATAGGAGATACTTAATTTGTAGTAGATAGTGAACAATTTATGATACAAACTAAACAATTCAGTGGAAACTGAATCATTTAAAGTAATTACTAGACAAGTCAAAGTAGTTACCGAATAATTTATAGTAGCTAATAAGTTTATTTTTTTTTTATTTTAAAACAGATCAAATTTAAGTATATTGTTCTGTTGTTAATACATAATTTGTTTTCCAGAATCAGTTGAACTATTTTCCAAACTCCTCCACACAAAGGCCTGAACAGCTCGGCAGTGTGTGTTTCTGAATCCGTGACTCTGAATTCAGTTAACAACACCTGTAATTATCACACACACACACACACACACACACACACACACACACACACACACACACACACTCAGACGCAGTGTTACCTCTGATGAGTGTGTAGAGGAGCAGAGTGCAGGTCCAGAGATATGAGACTGTCGGTGTGATTTTCATGGTGTCACTCAGGAATGATGCGAAAAAAGAAACACTGGCGGGACCTTAAACACTCTCACAGAGACAGGAAGTGCACACACACACACGCACGCATACACACACACTCACACACACATATATGTATTGCTCTAGAAAAAGGCTGCTTCGATTTCACGCATTCAGAACTGTCTAAAAGCCAAAGACTCCCTTTCATTTATGAATCTTCAGCAAAAACAGCCTTAAAGTTCAAGTTTTTCATTTTTCAGCTTCAAGAAAAAAACAGAAAACAGAAAATCACAGTTATACACAAGTTTAAAAACTGTTAACACACTTAAATGTGGCATTTTTCAGCACTCTTTAGTGCACAGCTTCTATTTATTTACAGAGTGTAACATGTTGGAAAATATAAAACATAAAACATAAAAGTGCCATCACTTTTTCACAGCCCACATTTTAATTTTTATATTTGTTTCCCCAACATGTTAAGCAAATAAACTAAAATTGTGCATTAAAATATTCAGAGATGTGGCTCTGTAGAGGATGCGTAACTTATTCACACTCAGAAAATGAAAAAACAAAATGGAATTGAACCAGGGGTGCACAAACTTTTGCACACCATTGTGTAATCTCAGCTGTGTGAGTCAGTGAGTCTCTCTTTCCCTTTATTCCAGCTTCCATTCTTTTCAGGAGACTCACTTTCAGTTCCTCAAAGAATCTGCAGACACACCTCCAAAGTTCAGTCTTAGAAGCTGGTTGATGATTTTCTGAAGTAATCAAACTCATTCGGTGTTGTTGAGGTCCGGTGAAAGATGAAAGATGAAAGCTTTAAGTGCTGTTTATCTGATGGGGCAGTTTGGTGTTCACCACACTGTTAGTAATAAAGTTTCTGTTCAGGTACATTATTCCCTCATCAAGGTAGAAACAGTGTAAATGTTCCTCAAAGCTCCAACAGTGGTTTTAAGGTCTGATTGTGAACCTTAAATAAGTGTTTCCAAGTGAAAAGTTCGTATTTGCACCTTTTCATAACCGAATGTTTTAAACAGAACAGTAAAATAAAAGCCTGGAGACGAGACGGGGTGTGTGGAGTCAGTACAGCTTAGAACATATCATTTCAGTGGATTATGGTTCAGTTATGTTCCCTGACTGAAGGTACTGAGATGGAGCCTTGAGGGTTCCACCCCAGTGACAAGAGGGGCACTGACCCAGAGACAGTTTAGTACCTTTATTTCTGAGAGTGTAGGTCTTCCAGGTGGTTGTTAGGAGTCCAGTTTTATTAATTAAATAGATGAAGGGGGTCTCTGACTTAGTACTGTATAGTACTGTATTCACACACAGTTACACTTAGTCACTCAGCAGATGCTCTTATTGAGAGTGACTGACAAAATGTGCAGATGGTGGAAGCCAAAAAACCTGGAGATACTGCAAAAATCTATAACCTAAGAAACAAGACGATAACTTAGTAGTAACTCAGAAATGAGGTGTGAAATGAGGTGTGAAGTGAGGTGTGAAATGAGGTGTGAAATGAGGTGTGAATTGACAGCATGTGGGCCTCCTGAACAGGTGACCACACTGGCCACAGCGGAAAGAGCTAAGAGACTATGCAGTGCATTCAGGGGGGGTTTGCTCACAACTGAGGGGCCACGATACTAAAGCAGGGCTAAAGCCTGTAAAACAGGTGCATTTTGTTGATTTTCTAACTGAAAATATGTGAACACATCATCTACACACACTCTAATACACAATTACTGAGAATGTTATTTACGTAGAAAATCAACAAAAAATGTCTTTGTGTTCAAACATTTGCATACAACTATATATACGTACACACATATATATATATATAGGTAGACTCCCTTGTCTTTGTGTGACTGGGTATTTTCTGAGGTCCCTTCCACCTGTGGGAGCTGGTAAGTGGGTGAGAGGTGCTAATGTCACCCCATCCATATTTAACCACTGTGATTTTTTGAGTATTTCTTTTTATGTAATATTCCAGACTGTTACTGACTTCTGACTCGAATGTGTTTCTGAAATTCACTCCAGTTTCTGAAGTGTGCTACAGTAAAAGTGTGAGTGGGTTTATAAGACAGGTTTGCATACTGGGGGCTTTTCTATGTCCTGCTGTGCAGAGGAGGAAGTTTGCTTTCTGTGCACACACACACACACACACACACACACACACACGCGCACACACACACGCATACACACACACGCGCACACACACATGCATACACACGCACACACACGCACACACCCACACACACACACACACACACACACACACACACACACGCGCACACACACACGCATACACACGCACACACACGCACACACCCACACACACACACACACACACACGCACACACACACACGCATACACACACACACACACACACACACACACACACACCCAGACACACACACACACGCACACGCATACACACGCACGCACCCACACACACACACACACACACACACATGCCAGCACCCACACGCACACAGATACACACACACACACACACACACACACACACACACACACATGCATGCACACAGATAAACACACACACACACACACACACAGATACACCAACACACACACATAAGCATGCATGCACACACACATACACATATGGTGTCTGTCAGCTTTTTCCCCTTCTGCTTTGAGGTTTCCCATGTAAACTTACAGCAGCTACAACCACATCCTGTTTGCCCATCGTTCTCATCATGTGGGTCAGTGCATGACCATCACACACAAAAATCCCTCTAAACTTTGAATGTTTACATTATTTTAAATTATAAGTGTTATAAATCAGTTTTTGTGATTATTTTTTTTAGCTTTCAACAGATCATGATGTAGCTTACATTCCTCTCTAATGCAAACGAGGATGAATGAAGTACAGTCAAACATACAGCAAACAAAAGCACAAATAGTCACACCAACTGAGAGGAGTCAGAAACGTCCACTTTGTTATCTCTCCATAGGAGTCACTGGTGTTACTGATCCTCATTGGTGTTCCACATAATAAAGGAACACCAGAGACATTTTTAATGAACAATGCATTTTACAAAATAACTGCTACAGAGCATCAAACCACATGTTGTCAATCATGGAATATCCACCAAAATATGGAATTTAATCCATTTGTGTTCTATTTTTTCACAGTTACCTCAGAATAAAGTCGGTCACACCAGTGACTTCAGCTAAAAGCTTCATATGAAATCATGAGCTAAATGAGAAAATCTCTGATAACTGAAAGACTCAGTGGACTCACCATGAGCTTTTCTTCATAGATCCTCAGAAAACAGGTAAAAGGAAGTCGAGTGATGTCATCAGTGTGACTTTTATTTCAAATAAGAGTTTTTTTGTTACGCAGTAACACCAGTGACACGACTCCTGGGGAACTTTCATTATATATTTATAATATTTATTTGGCATTTGTTTTCTTTATCATTTCATTTAATTTAAATATTCCATAGTCATGTTATATTATTGCAGTTAGAAATGCAGAAAAACATGTTTTTTACCTCAAAATATGGCCTCAGCCTTCACACATGATTGTGGGGACGAGCTCTTCTGTGGTGCCTGGAATTCTATATGATTGATTTATAAACCAATATCGCTAAATTGAGGCTCAGGAAGGTGTTGTTGTTAAAATAACTTATTGCTTTATTTTAAAATACAAATAAATTGTAACCTTAACATGTTTTTGAAGTGCAATTATCTGTAAACGCTAGGGACACAAAAATGGACGTTTCTGTAGAATGACCCATATAGGGTTTAAGGGCATTTGTCTAATGGGCTGATATTAAATCTTTAAGAGCTGATACATCCACATCCCTCACCAGCACTGCAGCAGATTTAGCTCTATTTATCACTGCAGTATCACTCAAGGGAAACGATATTATAGTAAAATAATAGCCATTGTTGTGATAGTCATGCATTTGGATTGAACCGCATTACGGCATGCGCTCGATGACGGCCGCAAGAGCCGGCGGGAAGGCAGGGCCTGAATCCCAAACACCACAGAGAGACACAAGTGACAGCGGAGGATGTCAGCCGCCAGAGAGAGGACGACGACGGCCACAAGAGGTCCAGAACTCCGCTGCCCAGGCCCCGCCCCCTGTTCTACAACGAGGCCGCTTCACTACACCTCGCGTTCGACCCGGGCAGCCGAGCTGCGGAGCAAGCTGATCTAACGTGAGCGCCTTTTAAAAAGAGCAGAAAGGGAAGAGAGAGAGAGACGAGCAGCAGCAGCAGCTTAGTTTGGAGAAAAGGACTGAAAAGTCTAGTTTGAAGCCACTGAAAAGTGGCCAACTTTGATTTGGTTGTTAGTTTGCTTTGTGTTGTTTGGTGTGGAAAAAAAACTAAAATGGCTGCTGCAACATTGAACCCTGACGATTTTTGTTAATAGGAATTTCAAGCACATCAGACAATATGGACAATTAGAGAGTTCTTTAGGTAAAATTCACCCTCAGAAACCCCTGTTTTGGGAAATGCTGCAGAATCGTAGCCATGAGTTTTAAAAGTTTACCATTGGATCATTTAGTTTCCAGTCAAAAATTCAGTTACAAGTTATACATTTTTCAGAAGCACAAATAAAAGCAGAAAACACATTTAACAGACACATCTACATTGCACATGGCAACACTGAATAATAAGCTACTGAAAGTTCTTCTGTCCCTATAATACGTAAGGCCAGTGTACGCTGACCGGACAAATACAAACAAACACAAAGATTTTTAGAAAAACTACTGACGAGTCCTTCACAACAGCCTGACTGCAGGTTTCAGATTCATGAATAAAACCTATGAGCACTTAAAACAGTCCAAGCCCAGCATAACTGCACTGTAGATTCAAATATAATCATTAAAATATTTCAGGAATCTCATCAAGTTTGCATTAATGCTTGAATCCATTTAAGATCTCATTCTTTCTCGTCAGACGTCCTTTCTAGGTTATAAAAATGTGCATTTCAGCTTCTCAGTGTTCACTCAAGCCTGAACGCCATCACCCCTCTGAAACATCTGGAACGTTCCACAAGCCACATGTGCATCAGGAAGCTGCCTCCCCTGATTCCCCTGCAGATCACAGGACGAAAAAAGAGAACATTTTTGTATCCACACTTTATTTTCAGTAAAACTGACTGATGAGGTTCTGCCTCGTCACCCAAATTACAGACTGAAATCAAATTATTCATTAAAAAATACATTTTAAGTCAATTAGAATTTCCATTCTATTAACATGGAAGCCTGTTAATTCTACACTTTTTTGCTAATGTTTGCTAATTCTACACTTATAGAAATGATGGTTCTTTAAGGGTTTGAGGGAGAATGTGTTGTATATGGTTCTATGTAGCACCAAAAGGGTTTTTCTCTTGTTGTGATGTCACGCCTGTAGCAACAGAAGAAGCTCTTTTTGGTGCTATATAGAACCCTGTTTGAAAAAAATTATATATATCCATTTTCTTTACTAAAAAAACCCTTGAAGAACCATCTTTTTTAAGTGTGTACGCTAAACTCAACTCTGTAACTGATGTACTGTCAGCAAAGAAACCCTGTAAAAAAATAATCACTGGGATATATATATATATATATATACATATATATATATATATATATATATATGAATTTTGTGAAGTAGAGGTTGCACAACTTCAGATTTTTTAAAGTCGACAATTATGTGCTAAAATTCGATGTTGACTAATTGTTGATGATGTCATAACTAAATCCACAAGAGAAGAAAACCAGACTTGAAAAATCGGTGACGAAGCCAAACTCCACAGGTCAGTAGAGCGTGACGCGTCCTTTCCAACAAGCCCTGGATCATCGCTGGCCTTCAGGGAACCAGAGATACAGACCTGGAATCTCACAAATTCGTATCCTACTTAGGCGCACCCTAGGCGGCCTTGCCAAGACACTTTCCTGCAGTAGAGATCCAGAGAGCCAGAGGAATTTAGAGCACCGTAACTCTGACAAAGTAAGAGTAACTGACTCCAAACTGTACAGGGTAACAGGGCGTTATGCCCCCTCTGCAGCCGCACAGGACTTTTTATTGTCGTCTTCAGGAAGCTGGAGATAATGACGTTCAGTATCGAATTTTTGAAGCTCTGTAAATCAGTGGAGAGATGTTAGAATGAAGCTAAACTTCACAAGTCAGTAGAGCGTGATGCCCTTTCCAAAGAGCCCTGGATCGCATTGCTAACTTTCAGGAAACCAGAAATACGGACCCCTAAAATCACCAGCCTCCTCACCTGCTGTCTTCTCTGAGGCGGCCATGTTGTTGTCGCTAGTGACTAGTCGACATCAAGCTTAAGATGTCATCGCCGAGCAGGAAAGTCGACTAGTCTGTGCAGCCTTTAGTGTTAACGGTAACATTAATGTTAATGTTAATAAAGCTGATTTAAACCCAGCTTGTGCTCCTTTCACTCTTTACTCACTGCAGGTCCTGCCCATGTAACGTAAACAAGGCAATGACCGTCTGAAAGGTGCACAGGACGAACTCCAGGCTGCTGACCACCACCAGAGCGCGTATGAGGCGTGATTATAACTGCAAATAAGTCTCCAAATTATCAATGTTCGTCTTAAGTCTCTCTCTTTGCTGTTTCGTTAGCTACAAGCGAGACTGTCTGTGTTGCTATGGTGACCAGCAGTCTGCATGTCAGTCTGCAGCGTTAAAGGGTGAATTAGCAGTTCTACATTAACTCCAGAGTTTAAGACCATTTACTGTTAAACTGTGTTAGAACTGTGTGTTATAATGGTTTTACAGTAAAGGAGGATTATTATGTTGATCATATTATGATTATTAAAAATCTAGTTCTGCTGTGGAGCCGCAGCAGCTCTGCAGCAGTGGAGACTATTCAGGCCTGATTCACCCCAAACAGAGCCAGAGTCACTGATGAGGATTCTGAGGCTGAAGAGTTGCTGAAGGACTCTGAATGTCGTGTCTGTCTGTACAGATCTGGCTGAAATGTGTAAATTGGAGCAGTTTCAGTTCAGCAGTTGACGATGCTTCACACAAAGTTGTTTGGCTTGTATTCAGTTATTTCTGTTGAGTTTTGTTAGGAAAAGCCTGGAATGACTGACTTTGCCTTTAGTCTAGGTTGTTGTTGGATATCAGGCCTTTGGTTGTGTAAGTTTGATTGTTGGTCACTTAAACTCACTGTTTGGTGATCTTTTTGTAGATTTGCAGCTTTTTAACTGTTTCTTTCTGGCTCATGATTAAATGCAGTGACCTGTTCACACTGTCAGTTGGGCTTGTTTGGTGTGTCAGGTGGAGAATCACAAACAGTGACAGTCGCACTTTGAAAGTAGCTAAAAAGTGGCCACTACTTTTTCTGGAAAGGTAGCTAAATCGTAGTTAGATACACATTTAGGGAAAGTAGCTAACTGCTCATTTTTCAGTAGCTATCCCAACCATGCCTAGATGTCACATTAGGTCCAGCCAGGCACGTCAACGGCGCCGCTATTTTGGGCCGGTCAACATTGCTGCTGGACCGCATTCAGTACCATTACAGAGCGGCAGTTTAATAAAGATACTGTCCAAAATTACACTATTTCAGGAATATCACTCTCAGAAAGAGGGACAGGATTATATAACGGAGGGAATGCAGTGATCCACACTCATGTCTGTGTGATGTGTATTGTCTGTGTGGTGTTTGTGTAGATGTGGCCGTGTGGTTAATGAGGCTCAGAGAACCTGTTGATGTGATTGTTTTTCCTCTGGTTTTATATGAAGCTTATTTCATTTAATAGTCTATTCAGGATCTTAACTTTATGTAGTAGTTATTTATTTACAGTGATGGTTAAAGCTTTATAGCGGTAAATTACAGCATTCCTTAATCCGTGTAGATATTCATCATAGAGTAATGTTAGCAGCTTCTTACACGAAGCTGAATTTAACTTCTTATTCGCCAGCTTCTTATTACAATTTTCCCGTTCCACCTTAAATGGTGCAGCTTCAGGCACCAGAAAGTGACTGCTGCACCATTTAAGATGGAATAGAAAAACAGGAACAAGAAGCTGGAAAGGAAACCAACTTCAGCTTCGTCCTTCTTACTGTGTTTTGTGGTGTTTATTCTATTTTTATGTGTATTAAGATTAGAAGTGATTCACACATTGGTGGATGTGCTGATATGTGTGAGTTTGTTTTTCTACTCGTGCTAAACTTGGTTTTTAACGTCAGCTGCAGACTGAATACTTTCCTGCTGGTCCGGACGGCTAATTATCACGATCAGTTATTAAAGTAATAAAAGATAGCGAGAGCCGTCCGCCTAGATTAATCTGTGTGATTAATCTGAGTAATGTGGAAGTTGTGGCCGATTTAATCCTGAGACTTATCATCTCTCAATACAAGGAAATTTCTTCACAAGGGGTCACAACCCAAACATTAAGAAGAGCCATTTTGTCCTTTCAACAAAAATCTAACCACTTTAGGATCAACAACATTTTATGTCCATTTCTCCATCTTGCCTGTAAATCTGTCTCAGTATGTTCTGATACAGGCTGAAAAATATAAACGAAAACTCAGACTTACTTTGCTCTGCTTTAAGCTTCAGCTCAGCTATAGCTGCTTTTCTCGCATCTCCAGCAGGAAACCTTTCCACACAAGTAGAATAATTTCTCATAAAATGTCTCTCATCGTTCGACTTTTTACGAGGCTGAAGTTGCTTCTCATTCGCCAGCTTCTTGTTCAAATTTTTCTGATTCAGGTTAAAGGCTGCCTGAGGAGCCAGAATGTGACTGCTGCACCATTTAAGGTGGAACGGAAACTTCAAATAAGAAACTGACTACAGCTTTGCGACTTTTTAGTGTTTGTCAGTTTCTCGTTGCAGATTAAACGTATCAGGAAACCAGCTGGAGAGATTATAAACACAAATAAACCCATTCATCTCTAAATTATCGATGTTCATCTTAAATCTCTCTCTTTGCCATTTCGTTAGCTACTAGCTAAGCGAGACTATTATGTGTGTTGCTATGGTGACCAGCAGTCTGCGCTGATCTTCAGGGTTAAAGGGTGAATTAGCAGTTCTACATTAACTCCAGAGTTTAAGACCATTTATTGTTAAACTGTGTTGAACGATCAGCAGAGCTTTATTTTACTGTAAACTGTAAATCTAATTCTGCTGTGAAGCCACAAGAGGGCAGTAAAAGAGCCGCATGCAGCTCTGGAGTCACATGTTGCCGACCCCTGATCTAGACCTTTTAAAAATAGAACATGCAAATCCTGGAACCAACCATTAGGCCACAAGGAATCGCTCTATTAAAGGCATGTGAGATGTCACCTTAGTTACTGCATTTTCTACCTATTTTCCTGTAATAATTAAAAAAATCAGCTCACCATGACTCCCCCTCCAATCAAGCCCCCCATGTGCTTCACTTCTGGGGTGAGATGGTTATCCAGCGCGTATGTGATTTTCCAGTCGGGGAAGAACAGAAGAACATTGCAGGCCATGGAGATGAAGGCCAGAGGATACAGATATCTGGCAATGATGCGTGAACATTTTCCTAGACACATCCTGAGAGTGGACACTCCACTGTGGACATGAGTGAAACACAAAACCAGAAAACAGCTGAGAAAATACAATCAGGTGATAATCGAGATCCAAACGGCTCTCAGGCTGATCTGTGAGGGCTGGACTAAAGCTGTCCTGTGTGTCTCCCCATCTGTCCTCTTAGAGCTGATGTGAAGTCTTAAATAAGATGGGATGGGCTTGTGTAAGTGGGGTGGTGGTGGGGGGGGGGTATGTGAAAGAAAGAGTATATACAAAATCCACCTGCATGCTAAGACACCGGGTCAACTTCAGGATCAGGTAGCGTCTCCTGTATTTTGAGGACTTGTGCTAATCATCATTTAAAGACCTTCTGCACAAGAAAACGTGGTTTCAAATGATTGACTCCTCTCACATGGCTTGTTATGATTATTTAGGTTGGTATTTGTGTCATACGTGTTGCCCTAAAACAGACTTTACATGTTTATATTAAAACAGTTAACACTGGTTATCATTACAGTACATAGTCACTAGTTCATTCACTGGAGGGGACAAGCACCACTGCATTGTCAACTGCATAGTATTTATGCAATTTACTTCTTATTTTGTACAGTACATTTATTTTTATGGTTGTTTTGATATATTTTATTATTTATCTCTAGTTTATATTTATATATCTGTAAATAGTGTACAGCAACACTTTGCTCCTGTTTATTTTGCCCTTGTTTTGCTCTTTACTGTACTTTCTACTGCTGCAATAGAAGAATTTCCGTCTGGGACTAATAAAGTGATGTATCTATGCGAGATAATGCTAATGAGTGCATTACCCTCTGAAAAAGACAAGCATCTCATGTTGGTCTGCGCTGGTCTGAGCCGGTCTAGTGCTGGTCTAGTTTAGTTGGTCACTCCAGCATGATCATGCTAGTTGACCAGCATACCAGCATCCAAAACATAATATATCGCTGCTGTTGGAACAAAACCTTGTATCTCCAAAATGGTAACTTTACAGGGGAAGGAAAAAACATTTGGGTCATTTCTTTTGGTCCATTCATCATGAAATTTACACACGATGTAAAGGACAACAGGCATTTTCAAATTCTGTCAAAAACTGAAAAATAAAAATAAATAAAAATGGAGATTCGAGGTTTTGTTCCAACAAATTGTCCTTGTTGGCATCAGAGGCTGGCGTTAGCCTAGCAAGCAGACTGAAACAGCTTCTCACCCCAAAACACAGGTTTGATATGTGCAGTTTTAGAGGATAAAACCTGCGCGAGTGAAGTCGAGTGACAAAAACAGAATTTTACCTGTTCTGGGGTGGGTTGACGTTATTAGCCTGCTAAGCTAGTGCTAGCATATCGGCTGTGACCAGCATGTAATTCTGGTCTAAACTGGTTTATGCTGGTCTGGTCATGTCAGTTGACCAGCATAGCAGCATCTAAAACACAATATATCATCGCTGTCGGGACAAAGCTTCATCTCTCCATTGCTGTTTTTCATTTTTTGACATAATTTGACGTTGTCAGCTGCCCTTTGCTTTGTGTCAAATTTTATGATGAATGTTCCAACAGAAATGGTGCAAAATGACTTGGAAATAATTTTTTCCTTCCATTAAAAGTTGAGAATGATTTTGTTCCGGCAGCGACGATGTGCTGGTTTTGGTGATGACCATAATGCTAGTTATCATAGCAGGATTAGTACTGTTTGATAGGTAGTAATAGCTGTTCAACTTGTGGTTTAGCATTTAATGAGTGGTGAAATTTGAAGATTTCACCTGTTTATAATAATAATATAATAATAATATAATGAAACTCTGTTCCATCAGGTTGTTAAAACTTCAGGTTGCACTTGTTAAAATACAGATCTTTTTGCAAGCCCTCGGAAAATTAGGTTAATGCTGCATATGGTTCACATCTGACATTTACTTGGCCCCAGGCACCTTTAAACCACCATGACCACAACTGACCCATAACCACTAGTTTCACATCGACACAGGGGTGGAATCCATATCTGAGCAATAGTGATAGCTGCTGTGGAATAAGAATGTTTAATCCAATAGATCTACATATGCTAGCCCTGTAATATATAATCATATCATCTTTTCTACACATATACATAAAAACACATATACAAATCGTAATGGTCCTTTTTAGCGGAGTGTATATTTATATTTAAATGCTACAGCGCCCTCAACAAATATTGGCACCCCTGGTAAACATGAGCAAAACAGGCTGTAAAAAACATTCTTTATCGATTATTCTTTTGATCTTTCATTCAAAATATTATATTAATGTCTCCCGAGTACCGCGCCACCGTCTAAGCATTGGCCCTGTCATCAGGTGACATTGTGTGAGCGGCAGTTCGAAAATATATATATATATATATATACACATTAATGAAAATCAAACCTTTATAACAGTACAGAAGAACAATGATTAAAAAAAAACTAAATCTTACCAGAAAATTAATATTTTTTCCAAACCTGTCTGTGCCACCATTATTGCACTCTTCATTTAATGCTTTGTGCCTTTGTAAAGATAACAGCTCTGAGTCTATAATCAGCTCCTATAATGCTTAATGAGACTGGAGAAAACATGACAGTCCGTTCCTCCAAACAGAACCTCTCCAGATCCTTCAGATTCAGAGCTCCACACTGTGGACTCTCCTCCTCAGCTCCTCCCACAGGTTTTCTGAGGGATTTAGGTCAGGGGACTGAAGTAGCCATGGCAAAACCTTAATTCTGTGGTCACTGAACCATTTTGTGTTGATTTTGATGTGTGTTTAGGATCATTGTCCTGCTTGAACCAAACCATGGTCCAGTTTGAGCTTCCTGGCCGAGGCTTTGGTGCTGGTACTTGATGGTGTCTGTGATCCCATGTATCTGAATAAATTTGCTTATAGTTTCCAGATGTGCCCATATTTGTGGAGCGCACTGTAGCTGTATCCTGTTTTTTCAATATCAAAACATGATCATGTGTCTGTTGCATTCTGATTGGTGTGGAAGACGATTCCATAAGCCAAGTTGAGTTTTTTGTCTGCTTGTTTTCTGCTTCTCTGTGGACTTCTGTAAAATGTTGTGATGATCTTATTGCAACATAAATGATTATTCTGAGAACAAAAGTCGTTCTTTTGACATAGTAAACAATATGTTTTGACGTATTAGAACACAGAATACTGCTGCTATGGGAAGCCCACAGATGGACGCTTGAAAACGTGCTGTATGATTCCATGGAAACCATACACAGAGTGATGAATATATGCAATAACCCTATTATCACATATATTCTCAAGGCTAGTCAGTATAGTTGGTCATGAGTGTGCAAGTGACCCACTGAAGCTCTGCTGTCCCATCAGACCTGATTAAAATTCAGATCTGGGCCACATGTGGTGCCGTAATGGCCCAGTTGTTGTACTTGTGGCTGAGAGTTGGGTCAGAGGGGTCAGGTGGCTGAGATGCGATGCTCTCAGGGCTGTAAACAGGCTAGGCTGGGTTTCAGCAGTAGCATTTGACTTTTCTGTGCCAGTAAATGCCAGATGTGGTCCAGCAGGCCGTTTCAGTCCTGCTGTCTGGAAATACTCACAGTTCAAAATGCTCTCTCACTGAGAGCCAGTAAGGAAGTCAATATACACTCTCAACAACAGACACCATATGCTACAGTTAGTGTTATAGCATAGGACTAATAACTGTTAATAATAGTGTCATTTTATTCTCGTGTAATATCATATAAGGGCGCCCCAGAGCAAGTCGGTCAATTTCAATGAACAAGAACGGAGTTAAAATTAAACTTGTTTTCTAACCATTAATATCAGACCTTCCTTTAAAATCAGAGGAAAGTTATATGTATATTTCTGTTTTTCTACAGCAAACAGTTTTGGTGGCCACAGGACACCAATATTACTGCTACTGAGAGCTAATTGGTTAGCATTACTGCTACTGAGTGCTGATCTGGTAGTGTGAGAGAAGAAACGAATGAATCTTTAACCCTCAGATTGAGCTCTGAAGTCATTGTTGACCCTCCGATATTTTCAAACATGTCTGATATTTACAACTCAAAACGTTCTGTAGAGTGAGATGGTCAGTGATGAGATGGTGAGATGGTCAGTGATGCAGATGAACAAGTGATCAGGCAACAGCCAATGAGAGACCCAGGAGGGGGAAAAAGGCAAAGAGAAACCTTTGTAGCTTTGTTTGTATTGTTCATATTGTGTAACGATGGAGGGGATCTGGGGCTTTGAGTGCTTTTCATAGCCAGAACTTGTGTGTTGAACCCTCTTTTTGCCTGGTGTCTGCATCCCCACGACAAAAAAACAGGGAATTCTATTCTCTAACTCTATTGATATTTTAAAAGTTGTGTAAAGGAGGCCCAGTTTCAGGCAGCACCACAATCCATACTGTGGTTAAACTGAGGGCCTGAGTTGAGTGCAGCTTTCGGGAAATTCCCTGCTCTAAATCAGCTACTAAACTTTGATTAACTGCTGATAATAATCAGGCGTGTTTAAGCAGCACAATCACCTTTTTTGAACTTTTTTGGAATCGAGCCCTCCAGAACCAGAGTTCCCCACCCCTGTTCTAAACAGAACACCTGCTTGAAGCCAGTTCCCACTAACTGGCTAGTTACACAGCATAATAAATAACACCACGGTCCTCTACACTGGTTCAATTCCCTGCTCCCCCTAGTGGCCATTCTGCAGACTTGAACATTTTTAACTAATATAAACGAATTATACATTTGTTCCCTGTAACTCAGGGACTGTCTTTCTGTGTTGTTGAGCTGCTGGTGAGCGATGGGAGGTGAAAGGGGAGGGGTGTGAACACGCTGCCGTGAAAAACTATTCACACCTCTCCACAAAGACGAGAGATAAAACAGACTGCAGCTTCCTTCATATCAATCTGTCCAGCACAACTGACACAATAAACACACACAGTGCTTAAACACAATGTGTTGACCTGCTTGCTCAACTACGAAGATGGAATTCCATCCAACACAGTTCCATCTAAATATATTCCATAAATGTTGATGAAGAACGTCACGCTTCCTGCCACTCACCAGACGAAGCTAGTTCCCTTGCTCGCATCTTCTGACACGAACTCCATTTCCCAGACTCCTCAGCAAAGTCACAATGCTTTCGGAGAGATCCTCATCATCCAATCAGTGCTCAAGTTCGCCGGAATACTAATGTTTTGCAGCTGTTTTAGATAATATTTAAGCCCGGGCTTTAGTTAGAATCTTTGCGAGGTATTGCTTTCTTTATGAAAGACTTTACTTCACATTTACTTTCCCCTGAGACACGATTGGACTGTCTCTCATGATCAGAGCGCCGGACGCATCCTGTACTTTCAACATTTTGGGAGGATGAGAGATTTGGGTCACCTGGGAAGAAGCTGAAACTTAGCATGATGCTAACTTGGCTGTTTGCTGCCCTGCTGTCTGCTGTTCCAGTGAACTCAATCTGTGTGATTTTTTGTGAATATTCTTCACTTATTAAGTACTGTGAAGATGCACCAATACCACTTTTTCCCTTTCAGTATCGATACCGATACCTGATCCTTTAGTATCAGCCGATACCGAGTACTGATACTAACTCTGTGTAACCTAACTCACCTATAAGTCCTGATATTTATACAATTACATTTTTAAAATATTTTATTTCAGTAAAATCTGTGTTCTGCATCACAAATAAAACACACTCATCTTGGCTAGATGGCATTTGTTGGATTGTATTTATTAGATGCTTAAGAAAACTTGATTTTGTTTATTTCCTGTACATAAATATATAATAAGAATCACATTTAACAACTTAAGTAAATGTAAAGTATCTTTATTGTTTCAAACAGTTAAAACAAAGCTGATCAGAAAACAGATAAACCTGTGGTGTTTACACATCAGCACACAGCAGCTTCTCTGGCTCAAAAACGGAGCTGAATGTTGTTTCAGATCCAGATTTCTCGGGTCGTTTGTCTGATATGTGCGTCTCGTTCACTTGGCTGCATGTCTGAACATCAGTGCAGTAAATATCACCGTCGTTCTCGCTGTCAGTATCAGCGACTTTCAGAGTTTTTCTGGCTTGGTTGAAGCGACAGGCCACTGCTGCTCAGTGATACAGCTGACCGGCGGAGGCGCACCACAGGCGGGGCTAGAGGGTGCAGGCCCGGCTAGCCAAGAGTCCAGCAGTTCCTTCCACTGTCTGAGTAACATTAACTCTGACTGTGTGAATGGCAGATGAGTGATTACTGAAAGAAGCAGCTCAGCCGTTCAGGTAAGCGGCTCCGTTAGCGTGTTCTTAACACCAAATGCTGCCGTTACAAATTCTGCCATGAGCATTTTTACTGCTGCTTGTCGTCCCACACCGCCAACGAGGTCTTAAGTTCTGTCTAGTGGTGCTCAGAAATTGCTTCGTGGTATCGGTCATGGGGATACTGACCGATACCACGAAGCACTTTCTGAGCACCACTATAATACTCTGTTTAAGTGCCAGTATTGGTGCCAACACTGATACAGGATCAGTATCAGTGCAACACTATACTACTGTGTTAACTTTCCAATTCAGGAGCTCAGAGAACTAAAACAGCCACCGTGCGCTTTCATGTCTCTGACAGCACAAAATCAAAAAAGACAACATGTTAAACTCATAACAGTGCATACATTAGTTACAAATTATTAACTGCTGTTGTTTTAAAATGACAAAAATACAGGTAAACAGGTAAAAGCAAACAATTTAAAAATATAATACAATAAAAAAAGCAGAGTAAATACAGAGTCATTTTCATTTAGAAAAAACAGGCTAATGGACTGATTTCAATGGCACGAACTGTCCTCCAGTGGGCGCTGTTTCATTGTGTTGTGGACTGAAAGTACAGTGCAGATTTAGGCTCAATCTCATTTCTTATTTTTACCCCTACCCCTTGTTTTCGAGTGTCACCCTAACCCCTTGGAACTGAGTTACAGGGTAGTGGTTGAAATCTTCCCTCTGAAATGGGACCCTCAAATAAAAAGAGCATCACTTCATTAACAGCTACCAGCGCTGCTCTGTAGGCGACCCTGCCAGTCTGCAGTGACAGCAGAGGAGGGTAAAGTTCAGCTCCTCACTGCTGGGCTTTAGTTACATTTAGGGCATCATATGATCTTCAAAGAGGGGTCAATTATTTATTATTGTCCACCCCAAATTCTTCAGTGATATGAAGCTGAAGTCAGATATTCAGCAGATTCTTGTTCGAATTTTCCTGTTCTACCTTAAATAGTCCAGCAGTTCTGATACTATTTAAGGTGGAATGGGAAATTTAGCTAACCAGCTACTGAGACATCAGCACTACTAGTGATTTTTTTATGTCTGTTATGAAGAAAAGGACCATAATACACTGAAACGACATTAAACTAACATTAAACATAAGATAATGCAATGATTATCATAATTTGTACAGAAAAAATCTCACATTTGTGTGTTTCTTTGGTCTCTTGTTCTACATCTTGCTGGTTTTTCTTTTTTCTTTTTTTCTCGTAACTCTCTGTTTGGAGTCTCTGAAAAACCTCAGTTTGGAGGGTCATGTAGCCCCAACACCTCACCCTACCCCTCTATCTCAACAAGAACCAGGACACCCTAAATGGTAGGGGTTAGGGGTGAAATGGGATTGGGCCTTACAGAGGCCAGAAGAGAACAGATTAATATGCAGACACATGATACAGTACAGTGCAAAAGGCCAGAGACCACCCCTCAATGGACTGACCACTCCAGAGTCCAGACCTCAGCATCACTGAATGAGTTTGATTACTTCAGAAAATCATCAACCAGCTTCTAAGACTGAACTTTGGAGGTGTGTCTGCAGATTCTTTGAGGAACTGAAAGTGAGTCTCCTGAAAAGAATGGAAGCTGGAATGAAGGGAAACAGAGACTCACTGATTCACACAGCTGAGAGTAGTTTTAGCTGTTGAGAATTCTGGGTAATTTTCTGTTAAAAACACAGCATACAGTTAATATACTACTTTTTCCTGAAGCTGAAAAATGAATAACCTGTACTAAATGCCCATTTTGACTGGAAACTAAATGAATGAAGGATCTGAGTTGTGTATAGTAATGTAAACATATTAAAATAATCATTGGAAGCATCATAACTACAGAATATAACTGATTATATAAATGCTTTATTGTGCTGCCGACTAACTGACCAGAGTTGCGTCATACATTCAGGTAATAACTTCATCTTGCATAACAGATTTTTACATTAAAAGTTTTACATTTTATAGATTAAATTTTTGTCTTGTAAATTCGTTAGATTCTGAAATTTAGAGGCTTTAGAAAGTGGGCGTGGCCTTTTGTCTCAAAATTAGTGCTGCAGACTTTTAAAAGTAATTTAATTTAGTTTGATGACTTTGCTGACAGTGATGTTTTGTGTATCAGAGACACTTTGTTCCTCTGTATCTCCTCACTGATCTACATTTACATGTCAGTGTGTCACTCAGATCACAGTTAAAGTGATAAACATTTCTGCGTTTACGTCAATAACAATGAAAACAATCAATTTATACTGTTCAAAGTCTATTATAAAATATAATTATATTTATAGCACTGAAAAACACATTTCAGCTGAAGTATCTCATAGCAAACTAGATTTATCCCTCATTTAAAAAACGGAAATGTAAAATTCAGACACGCCGCACATAATATATAATAATCAAAAACTTCCTGAAATCTGGAGATGAGGCACATTAATCCTACAGTCATTCTTTAATATTTGAGAATCAGCTAAATTTAATATATTTATCATTTAAACAGTATTATTTAAACTTTACATAATGTGGTGCAGCTCTATTCCTGCCTAATATTAATTAGGATAAAATAGAATAAAACTTAAATATAGTAACTTTACTTGAGAGGGCAAAATTATAAAGTAAGTAGATTTTATTCTAAGAAATTTTTACATTTTCACTTTGAATTTTTCACACAGTGTAAAGGTCAGCTGCCATGTTCAAATGACATACAAAAGTAAAAATCTGATTTTTATTAAAACTTATTTGGAGAGCAACAGTGTTCTAGCTGTTGAATTTTGCCAGGATGTGGAAAAGTTTTGTTTGTGTTTTACTTTTTTCTCTTTGTTTTTGCAGGAAATTACATCATCATGTAGCTGAATAAAGTGTTTTTTTTAGGTGTTCTATTTCATGATAATATTTCATGGCGATGCGGCTTTGGCCGCTACTAAAGCCGTTGGCGGGAGGCAGAGGCAGCTCACGAGGATACAGATAATATGAGAGGAGCAGAAGATGATCTTCAGGCTACTGATCGCCAGCAGTATGGAGAATAAAATCACGTTAAACTTCACCACGTCCTCTGGCTCTGAGCACGTACTCCACTGGGACTGGTCATGCAGATAACTCCCGCCTCTGAGAGAGAGAGAGAGAGACACAGAGAGAAAGAGAGACACACAGAGAGAGTGAGAGAGAAAGAGAGACACACAGAGAGAGCGAGAGAGAGAGGGGTGATAAGAGTGAAAGAGAGGCTCTAAAGGTTTATATAAATTGATTGACAGTAGAAAAGTCACTTTGGGCTCATAATCCTTCTGTAATGAAGCAAGTGTGAGTTTCTTACTGGCCCTTAAAAGGTGTTCCCCAGGTCCAATATCCTTTACAGTAGGGTCCATTTAGCAGCCCGGACAGTGCAACTCCAAAACTGTACATGGCGCCAACAACACCGAGTGCTTCCAAGAGAACAGACAGGCAAGGCTAGGGCACATGAAGAGAATGTATTTATGATAAAAGTGAAAAGGGAAATGCGCATTCTTTTCAGTTTTTCTTTTATGTACACATTGTCTGAAATTCTGACACGGCTACCTGTGCTAAAGGCTAAGTGCACTGAAAATAAAACAAACCTCAATTCCACAAATTCAGTATGTGAAGTACTACTGAAAACAGAAAGCAGTGTTCAGTAAATTCTGTCTGACCCGTATTGAACTGAAAGTACAAAATCAAGACCTTTGTTGCTTGACAATTAGTAATTGTTTGGGGACTGAAGACACCAAATGATCCACATCTGGAAGCAGAATTTTTAGCTGTTCTTCCGTTCCTCAGCTGCACAACCGTACAGGGCCTTTATTGCCGTATTTGGAACTTCATAATGCGCTATGTTTTGAATAGAAGACAGGCTGGCCAGTCCGGCACTGTCTGATTACGCAGCCATGTTGTTGTAACACATGCAGAATGTTTCTTGGTGTTGCTGTGTTGAAATAAGCACAGGTGTCTAAAAGGCAGCATATGTTGCTCCGAAATGTATGAATATGTTTCATTGCAGGTAGGCTGGCAGGTGTATTAAGTTGGAGGTGCTGAATTTTAAGTTGCATATACATAAATGTGATGACGATGCAAAGTGATCTGCTTTTTTCTCTTTGAATGGTTTTGATACTTTACATCAAACAGAATGTGTCATACTGAACTACAGTGAGGCAAGAAATGGCAATATATACACACAACTGACCCTTCAGTGCGGTGATGCACATCCTCTCTCTGCTTTCTCATTCAGCATGAACTGGCCTCTATCTCTCTTTGCACCTCTAAAGACTCCATTCTAAAACAAGCACGCACACGTCTTTGCCAAGGTTCAGATCTCTGTATCACTGTTAATGTTTTTAGCAGATGTTGTCCTGAAATCAGGGAATGCTGCAGCCCCCTCAGCCCCCCCACTTCCCGCATCCCTGATTCATTGTTAATGGTGCCTTCAGAGATGTTACTCTCTAATACCCCCCCACCATGAAAGATGCTGGATTTTGAACTTTACGCTGGTAACAATCTGGATATTCATGTTTTTTTTTGAGAACATGACATCCATTATTTTCATAAACAATCTGGAAAGTTGACTTTTCAGACCACAACACATTTCCATTGAGCATCAGTCCATTTCAGATGAGCTTGAGCCCAGAGAGGTCAGCAGCGTTTCTGAATGTTGTTGATATATAACTTCCACTGTGCAGAGCAAAGTCTTAACCTGCATTTGTGGATGCAGCAATGGATGGTGTTTATTGATAACAGGTCATCAAAGTATTCCTGAGAAGTGCAGTGCCATCTGAGGGGTTGAAGGTCACAGGCATTCAGTGGTGGTTTTCAGCCTTGCCGTTTACACACAGAGATTTTGTGAGATTGACTGTCAGATTGTCATTGTGAGTCAGGCCCTCTCGTCCAACATCAGTGTCTGACCTCACAAATGCTCTTTAGACTGAATGGGCATAAATTCCCACAGACACTCTGAAAGATCTGAGACTGTTAAACTCTGGAATTTGGGATGTCCAACAAGCGTATATAGATGCAATGATGAGGTGTCCACACTTTTTTGGTGTGGAAGTGTGTCAGTGATTTAGTCTGCTATCATCTGTAGTGTAAACTAAGTAGTGAGTATGAGGTATATGTGGCACTCACCCCACAACACTTGCAACAGCATAAACACTTCTCAGCCTTTTGAACAAAAAATGCTGGAATCAAAACCTGAAAGAAAGAGAAAGTTCACTTGATAAGAAACGCTTATTTTGGTGGGGAAACAGCAAAAAGCCTCTCACAATCAGGATTTCCCAGCATGCATTACACAAATACATCATACAACCATTGTGAAACCCTGTGGTGTCACCCAGTCCTGACTGCTGGCCTGGCCACTAAGCTACAAGCTAATAAATACAACCAAGCTTGCATTAGTGTAACTATTACTTCATCCATCAAGCTCTGTCTTTTACACTCTGATACTCTTCTAACAGCAGTGACTGGAGTTCACAGATCCACATCTTACTGTTTGTTCACAAACTTCCTCCTTCTAGTTTGTACTGCTCTTGTCGAGTTATTGTTTTGCTGGTCTTGACCAGAGAAAGATGGGTCACCCTTTGAGTCTTGGTACCTCTCTTGGTTTTCTCTTTTGGGGCTCCAACCTGATACACTATATTGTCAAAAGTATTCACTCACCCATCCACATCACTGAATGTGGTGTTCCACTCACTTGTTCCAATTCAGGTGTTCCAGTCACTTCCATGGCCACAGGTGTGTAAAACCGAGCCCCTAGGCCTGCAGACTGCTTCTACACACATTAGTGAAAGAATGGGTCGCTCTCAGGAGCTCAGTGAACTCCAGCGTGGTACCGTGATAGGACGCCACCTGTGCAACAAGTCCAGTCGTGAAATTTCCTCTCTACTAAACATTCCACAGTCAACTGTCAGTGGTATTATAACAAAGTGGAAGAGATTGGGAACGACAGCAACTCAGCCACGAAGCGGTCGGACACGTAAAATGACAGAGCGGGGTCAGCAGATGCTGAGGCGCATAGTGCGCAGAGGTCGCCAACTTTCTGCAGAGTCAATCGCTACAGACCTCCAAACTTCATGTGGCCTTCAGATTAGCTCAAGAACAGCGTAGAGAGCTTCATGGAATGGGTTTCCATGGCCGAGCAGCTGCATCCAAGCCTTACATCACTGTTTCACTCATACCAGCACAACACACACTAACACACCACCACCACGTCAGTGTTACTGCAGTGCTGAGAATGATCCACCACCCAAATAGTACCTGCTCTGTGAGGGTCCATGGGGGTCCTGACCACTGAAGAACAGGGTAAAAGGGGGCTAACAAAGTATCAGAGAAACAGATGGACTACAGTCTGTAACTGTAGAACTACAAAGTGCACCTATATAGTAAGTGGAGCTGATAAAATGGACAATGAGCGTAGAAACAAGGAGGTGGTCATAATGTTATGCCTGATCGGTGTATAACATCACCAAGGGAGCAAGTATAAAGGGAAAAAAGGAGAGGACCCAAAAAGAGCCCTGTGGGAGCCTCACTGGTAGAGAGTCTGCAAAAAGTAAAGACTAATTCAGTTATGAATGTGCTATTAAGCCACAAATTACCAATTACACACATAAGCCCTGTTGCCAGCCATATATCAGACAGTGTGCTGCATGATCAATAGATGAACAGCGAGAGGCTGTGATTTTCAAAAAGCTGCGTTCTGTTCATCCACAGTGGAAAGATTTTCAAAAGTCTTCACCAGGAACGAGTTTTAAACAGGCTCTATTTTTGTTAGTGATGGAAAACGCTGTTTTGTGTGTACGGGAGATCAAAAAACAGAGAAAAAAATACATTTTTAAACATTTTTGTTATATAAAACAGCATAAATACTACATGCATATGGATAAAGGACCTCATTTCATATGATTTTCTTATCTTGTAATTTGCCCAGTGCTACCAGTTAAAAATATAGGCTGGAGTTTGGAGGAGCAAAAGTGCATTACTGAGTTCCTCAGCCTGTTTTCAATGTAATTAGGTTTAAACAGAGCGATTTAAACACCGCTTACCACGAGTCCTCCGACCAAACCCCCTGACAACCTCACCTCTGTGGTGAGTTTGCCTTGAGAAAAGTACTCATATGACCACCCAGGGAAGAAGAGAAGAATGCTGCAGATAATGGAGGTGATGGCCAGAGGATACAGGAATACTGTAGTTACACACAGACCCTTTTGGTTACACATCCTGATGGGAGACGTTCCACAGCGAGAGCCAGTGAAAGAGGAACTCAGAAGAAATCCAGAGAAGCAAAGTAATCCACACGCCCAAACACAGAAACACAGAGCTCGTCTCTCAGGCTGAACCGTACAGGCTTTGTTTTATCAGACTTGTTGTGGCTGAGCCAGAGTGAGTTGGAATGTGAGTGGGTGCGTCTGTGAAAGAGAAATCTGTGTTGTAGAGCCAAGATTATTTCTGGACGTGGACTCTAAGTAAAAACATTGGAAGGAAATCTGAGCATCTGCCATGAACCATTTCACATCAAACCACCCTGAATGACTTCTGAACTATGGAGGAAGTTAGAAAAGAAATGGAATTCCATAGTATCTTACTCAGCACAGCCTGCACCAACATAGTAGCTTACTGAGCACAGCATACACCAACACAGTAGCTTACTCAGCACAGCCTGCACCAACATAGTAGCTTACTGAGCACAGCATACACCAACACAGTAACTTACTCAGCACAGCCTGCACCAACATAGTAGCTTACTGAGCACAGCATACACCAACACAGTAGCTTACTCAGCACAGCCTGCACCAACACAGTAACTTACTCAGCACAGCCTGCACCAACACAGTAACTTACTCAGCACAGCCTGCACCAACAAAGTAACTTACTCAGCACAGCCTGCACCAACACAGTAGCTTACTGAGCACAGCCTGCACCAACATAGTAGCTTACTGAGCACAGCATACACCAACACAGTAGCTTACTCAGCACAGCCTGCACCAACACAATAACTTACTCAGCACAGCCTGCACCAACAAAGTAACTTACTCAGCACAGCCTGCACCAACAAAGTAACTTACTCAGCACAGCCTGCACCAACACAGTAACTCACTCAGCACAGCCTGCACCAACATAGTAGCTTACTGAGCACAGCGTACACCAACACAGTAGCTTACTCAGCACAGCCTGCACCAACACAATAACTTACTCAGCACAGCCTGCACCAACATAGTAGCTTACTCAGCATAGCCTGCACCAACACAGTAACTTACTCAGCACAGCCTGCACCAACACAGTAACTTACTCAGCACAGCCTGCACCAACACAGTAGCTTACTCAGCATAGCCTGCACCAACACAGTAACTTACTCAGCACAGCCTGCACCAACATAGTAACTTACTCAGCACAGCCTGCACCAACACAGTAACTTACTCAGCATAGCCTGCACCAACATAGTAGCTTAGTCAGCATAGCCTGCACCAACATAGTAGCTTAGTCAGCACAGCCTGCACCAACACAGTAACTTACTCAGCACAGCCTGCACCAACATAGTAGCTTAGTCAGCACAACCTGCGCCAACACAGTAACTTACTCAGCACAACCTGCACCAACACAGTAACTTACTCAGCACAGCCTGCACCAACACAGTAGCTTACTCAGCACAGCCTGCACCAACACAGTAGCTTACTCAGCACAGCCTGCACCAACATAGTAGCTTACTGAGCACAGCCTGCACCAACACAGTAACTTACTCAGCACAGCCTGCACCAACACAGTAACTTACTCAGCACAGCCTGCACCAACATAGTAGCTTACTCAGCACAGCCTGCACCAACATAGTAGCTTACTCAGCACAGCCTGCACCAACACAGTAACTTACTCAGCACAGCCTGCACCAACATAGTAGCTTAGTCAGCACAACCTGCACCAACACAGTAACTTACTCAGCACAGCCTGCACCAACATAGTAGCTTAGTCAGCACAGTCTGCACCAACACATTAACTTACTCAGCACAGCCTGCACCAACATAGTAGCTTAGTCAGCACAGCCTGCACCAACACAGTAACTTACTCAGCACAGCCTGCACCAACATAGTAGCTTAGCCAGCACAACCTGCACCAACACAGTAACTTACTCAGCACAGCCTGCATCAACATAGTAGCTTACTCTGCACAGCCTGCACCAACACAGTAACTTACTCAGCACAGCCTGCACCAACACAGTAGCTTACTCAGCACAGCCTGCACCAACATAGTAACTTACTCAGCACAGCCTGCACCAACATAGTAGCTTACTCAGCACAACCTGCACCAACATAGTAACTTACTCAGCACAGCCTGCACCAACATAGTAGCTTAGTCAGCACAGTCTGCACCAACACATTAACTTACTCAGCACAGCCTGCACCAACATAGTAGCTTAGTCAGCACAGCCTGCACCAACACAGTAACTTACTCAGCACAGCCTGCACCAACATAGTAGCTTAGCCAGCACAACCTGCACCAACACAGTAACTTACTCAGCACAGCCTGCATCAACATAGTAGCTTACTCAGCACAGCCTGCACCAACACAGTAACTTACTCAGCACAGCCTGCACCAACACAGTAGCTTACTCAGCACAGCCTGCACCAACATAGTAACTTACTCAGCACAGCCTGCACCAACACAGTAGCTTACTCAGCACAGCCTGCACCAACACAGTAACTTACTCAGCACAGCCTGCACCAACACAGTAACTTACTCAGCACAGCCTGCACCAACATAGTAACTTACTCAGCACAGCCTGCACCAACACAGTAGCTTACTCAGCACAGCCTGCACCAACACAGTAACTTACTCAGCACAGCCTGCACCAACACAGTAGCTTACTCAGCACAGCCTGCACCAACACAGTAACTTACTCAGCACAGCCTGCACCAACATAGTAGCTCAGTCAGCACAGCCTGCACCAACATAGTAACTTACTCAGCACAGCCTGCACCAACATAGTAGATACTCAGCACAGCCTGTACCAACACAATAACTTACTCAACACAGCCTGCACCAACATAGTAGCTTAGTCAGCACAGCCTGCACCAACACAGTAACTTACTCAGCACAGCCTGCACCAACATAGTAGCTCACTCAGCACAGCCTGCACCAACATAGTAACTTACTCAGCACAGCCTGCACCAACATAGTAGCTTAGTCAGCACAGCCTGCACCAACACAGTAACTTACTCAGCACAACCTGCACCAACACAGTAACTTACTCAGTACAGCCTGTACCAACATAGTAATTTACTTAGCACAGCCTGCACCAACATAGTAACTTAATAAGCACAATCTGCACCAACACAGTAACTTACTCAGCACAGCCTGCACCAACATAGTAGATACTCAGCACAGCCTGTACCAACACAGTAACTTACTCAGCACAGCCTGCACCAACATAGTAGCTTAGTCAGCACAGCCTGCACCAACACAGTAACTTACTCAGCACAGCCTGCACCAACATAGTAGCTTAGTCAGCATAGCCTGCACCAACACAGTAACTTACTCAGCACAGCCTGCACCAACATAGTAGCTCACTCAGCACAGCCTGCACCAACATAGTAGCTCACTCAGCACAGCCTGCACCAACATAGTAGCTCACTCAGCACAGCCTGCACTAACATAGTAGCTTAGTCAGCACAGCCTGCACCAACATAGTAGCTTAGTCAGCACAGCCTGCACCAACACAGTAACTTACTCAGCACAGCCTGCACCAACACAGTAACTTACTCAGCACAGCCCGCACCAACACAGTAACTTACTCAGCACAGCCTGCACCAACACAGTAACTTACTCAGCACAGCCTGCACCAACACAGTAACTTACTCAGCACAGCCCGCACCAACACAGTAACTTACTCAGCACAACCCGCACCAACATAGTAACTTACTCAGCACAGCCCGCACCAACACAGTAACTTACTCAGCACAGCCCGCACCAACACAGTAACTTACTCAGCACAGCCCGCACCAACACATTAACTTACTCAGCACAGCCTGCACCAACTTAGTAACTTAATTAGCATAGTCAGCACCAACATAAAGCAAAGCATGATCGACTGAGTTCTTGGACTTTGTCATATAGAATTTCCTCATAGCAGAATTTAATGAGGAAACTTTCACTTTGTGAGTATCTTTGTACACAGCTATGCTAATGCTAATTTCAGCTAGCTGTGGGATTGCAGTGTCATGTTAGTGCCAAGCTAACGGTGGTGTACATTTACTTTCCCACACTGAGTTTAATACCGTAGCGAGGGAGTTTAATCCAAAGAACCCAGGCAAGCCAAACATTTGGGGCCAAATTACAGAAACATCCTACCTTTTTGTCTTAAGATCTGACAGGTCGGTATAAGATTTTTCACACATTCGTATTACAGAAGCAAATCTGATCTTACTTTAGGAATGTAATTGCAATTTACGAGTTTAGAAATCTTACACTACTCAATCGTTTAGTAAACACTTCACTTAAAACCTCACTGTGAGTGTTATTAGAGGAGCCTGTTAGCTTTTGAAAAAAAATGGCTGTTTGTTTTATTTTTTTAATTGTGATGAAACATCTTCAAAGTATTTTAAGATGGAGTTTAACAACAAAATCTGCAGTTCTAAGTCCTTCATTTCCTAATATGAGGGCACTATAGAATTTGATAAAAATTTGAAAAAGTTGACTGCCTTTAAAACATGCCAACGTTCATGATGAACAGACATAAGACTGTTCAGAACATTTCTTTTCCTCCTGTAAGTTGACTGTTGTGGAGACACTATGTTTTGTTCCAACTGCAGTGATAAATATAATATTCAGAAGAGGACATATTTCCATTTTGACCACAATAGAGCTTCACGCTGTACAAAGCTGTGCAGACCTCACCCTCATGAACTGACCCTCCTGCTGCTGCTGCATAAACTCAATCTATCTAATTAACCGTTGCTCCACCTGTTTTTCCCTGTTTTTGTATTCTAAAATTTTATTCTAATGCTGTTTACTGTCCGGTGTGGTCCAGAGGAGGATGGGTTCCCTTTTGAGTCTTGGTTCCTCTCAAGGTTTCTTCCTCTTGCTCTTAGGGAGTTTTTCCTTGCCACTGTCATCATTGGTGACGCTCATGGAGACTCAGACCTGGATTTTTTTGTAAAGCTGCTTTGTGACACCACCTGTTGTAAAAAGCGTAATATAAATAAACTTTGACTTGACTATTGTTTATTTATTACTGCTGTCAATATGCAGCGTTTTAATCATAGAGTACATTATGTCGTAGTGTACAGACATTAGACTGTAAGCGCTGTAAATGAAATATAGTAATTAATGCAGACAGTCATTTCATATAGTGACCTACTGTGGATTGTTGCTTTACGTTTCGTCTGCAGTCGACTCAAATCTGAATGCACACTTTGTCCAG